AAGGTCAAATTACAACTGGACAGAGATCAGCCTCTCTTTCACTTGGGTTATTTCATGTTTCTTGGTCACAGGGCTATTTTCATGTGCTGTAGTGTATTTCTTACACCTACAGCACTAGAATTTAGTCTAATATTGTGTCTTTATATAGAAACACTGAAAATAACCTCAAAACATGCAAATAATGCATACTTCAGCAGAAATTGCTGTAAAACCAAAATAAAACATAGCTATCCCCCCTTGCCAAAATCCAGTGGAAAACCCCGTGTCCTACTTATTTGACCTTTTTGCACTAAATTTGACCCAGGTTTGACCTAGGGCGTGGGAAAATTCGAAAATCCAAAAATTGCCATTTTGTTTCGAAAACCGCTCATACCTGTCCACCCCTATAAATCAAAATGGACTCTTCCATGGTTATAATGGACTATTCCAGTTTTTCGTTTTAAATGTGAAATCAGGAAATCCTTCCTGTACACCCCTTAAAAACCTAATGGACTCTTCAAAAACAGCTTGGACTCTTCCACTTTTCGGAAATTCCATTTTAACTCCATTTCCTTCCTATCCACCCTCAGAACAATTATAAAGGACTCTTCCAAGTGAAATGGACCACTCTCAGGCCCCTACAACACTGCAAAAGTATTTATTGATGGAAAATGTAGCCGACAGAAGACAATTCTGTTTATAATGGCTTTTTGTGTCGTTTTTCAATGATCACAGCAAATGATATTTAGCAGGAGATGTCAAATTTCTTCTTCACAATTCAGAGGGGGTGGTTATCATGAAAAATCACATAGTTCAATGCATTATTTTATTTTTGAATAAATACAGAAAATAAAACAAAAATCATTGATGAAATAAATTGGGTTTCGCTTCTTTTCATTTCAAACGGTTCGTCTTCTTCTCTCACTTTCCTCCTTTATCAATGTCTTGATCTCATCCTGAAAGAATTAAACCACAACATAAATCTTACAAGTAGAGTGTGACAGGCTCATCACTGCACTAGTAAACTTAGTAAAACTTAAATAAAGAATTGAATTAAAGTCCTTCAATGTGTTTATGGCAGAATCAAGAGAATAAACATTAGACAGCTTACAATTACATAAATATTGGATGACAAGTCAGACAATAATATAGGTTTGTGAAAAAAAAATGGTATATATCATCCTACATGTCTGCACCATCAGATTACCATTGAAGCAACAATAACTGTCAGGGATTATCATGCAATTCATTTTTTGTCAGGTCAGTCGAAACTCGGAAGCAATGCCTCAGAATCTTTTTCTTACCTTGAAGATGATTCGTATCCACAGCACCTTACAGCCTTGCAGGCTAACTAACTTCTTACAGTTTAAGTTCAATTTCTAGACATTAAAATGGTCTAAGAGTGTATATGCTGCAGTCAACACACGTGACAGCACACGATAAACATAGACTAAGTATTTGTTCAACCTGCAGAACGTTAAAAACAAACCATTTCTTCATGTATTCGCTTTTACAGCCAAAAATTCAAAATATCTCTGAAAAATGTGCTCGATGTCGGCCATGTTTGTTTACATCGATCAGTCTCGAACTATAAGTCCTAATGGGCTAAAGACGTTTGAGTCTGGTAAATCAAGTATGTCACGTGTTTCCGGTTACAATTCACGGAAATTACTTGAGGGCCGAATGTATCAGGCAGCACCACTCGTCAATCTCCGTACATCTGCACGCGCCTCGTCATTCAATGGAGTTGTCCCCCTTAGACCGTGCGCAAATCACATGGGTTGTAGCCTTGCTTGTCCATTGAGCAAAAAGTTGTTCTTGCATCTTAGTTTCGATTATCAAACAAAACAAATGGTATAATAAAAACAACATGATCAAAAGTTTCAGTTGTAAATCAGTTTAGATAAGATAAGACCGAATTAAACCATTGTTATGGCAAATTGAGTATTTGATAACATTAATGCAGGACTCCACGGGGTCTACTTGTAGTTTTGAACCGTTGTTGTGGTTTTTTAAACACTGAAATCAAAGTTGAGAGACGATGGAAGTGCAAAAATGAATTAAAGTCCATTTTTAATCAATTTTTGTGTTGATTTTGTAGAGAATATTTTAAAGTGTGTCTACTTTGCTTCAGTGAGAGATGTCAGTACATTGGGTGTGCTAAAAAGGCCTAAGATGAGGAAGTTCTAGACAAGTCTTCACAACAGTCCAAATTTCAAGAGAATGTGTTGATGAATGTACCAAATTAACACAATTAGCTATTTGGAGTTGCTGCCAGGGTTGCAGACATGTCTTTCCCAGATTATTAATACTCATTTTCAGATGACAGCAACTTGTCAGCGTAGGCCTGTGATTAAGTAAATAAAATAGATGATAAACTAATTTTATTTACAAAAAATCAAAACAAAAGGACACAGGAATGGTACAATAAATATACAAAAAGAAATGGAAATTATAAAAGTGATTCAAAATAAAATATTATCAATCTTACTTTACCAAGTAGTTTCAAAAGAAGCAGGCCTTGTCCTGATAAGTGAGCATTGAAAGTTTGTGACATCTTCGAAAGTCTCAGTATAACATTTTCACATAATAAATATTCATATTGACTATCAAGACAGTTTGCGACATCTTCTAAAGTCTCAGTATAACATTTTCACATAATAAATAGTCATATTCACTATCAAAACAGTTCGCGACATCTTATAAAGTCTCAATATAACATTTTCACATAATAAATATTCATATTCACTATCAAGACAGTTCGCGACATCTTCTTAAGTCTCAATATAACATTTTCACATAATAAATATTCATATTCACTATCAAGACAGTTCACGACATCTTCTAAAGTCTCAATATAACATTTTCACATAATAAATATTCATATTCACTATCAAGACAGTTCGCGACATCTTCTTAAGTCTCAATATAACATTTTCACATAATAAATAGTCATATTCACTATCAAGACAGTTTGCAACATCTTCTAAAGTCTCAGTATAACATTTTCACATAATAAATAGTCATATTCACTATCAAAACAGTTCGCGACATCTTATAAAGTCTCAATATAACATTTTCACATAATAAAGAGTCATATTCACTATCAAGACCTTTCACGACATCTTCTAAAGTCTCAATATAACATTTTCACATAATCACTATCAAGACCGTACACGACATCTCCACATTCTCACTGTCATAAAGTTTATTACCGAAATCACTGGCTGGGAGTGGTGTATTCAATCTATTTGTAGCATCAGTTAGTTTTCTTCACTTTAAATTCATAACAGGCTTCCTGAAATTATTAATTATTAAAAGATGTTGAACTGGTAGATAGGAGTGTCACCCGATCTTTTTTTCTATCAACTTTTTCAATGGCAGTGCCCCCTTATCTTTCTTCAGATCTTTCTTTTATCTATCAACTTTTTTAATGGCAGTGCCCCCCGATCTTTCTTCTATCAATCAACTTTTTCAATGGCAGTACCCCCCCCCCCCCCCCGATATTTCTTCTATCTAGATCAACTTTTTCAATGGCAGTGCCCCCTAGATCTTTCTTCTATCAATCAACTTTTTCAATGGCAGTGCCCCCCGATCTTTCTTCTATCTATCAACTTTTTCAATGGCAGTGCTCCCTGATCTTTCTTCTATCTATCAACTATCAGTCTAACAATTTGAGCTCAACTACAGAAAATGTTGTCAGAGAGACTGACATTGGAATAACCCCTTTTTTCACTGCTCCAAATAGTTGCAGAAAAGAAAGATTTCTCACCTGATATGTCTTGCAGATTAATTTCGTTAAATTATCATATGCTTCATTTTGAATTTTCTGACTGTGTTGTCGTGCGCCTAGAAAAAGAACAGAAAAATTTAGTTGAAGTAAAAAATTACCCTTTTAATCAACAGTGTGATACATTAAAAATAGGATAACACTGTAGCCTAGTTTCTATGACTCTATCAAATCAATTTCTACACCCTTTACAAGTCAAATTGACAGACTGATTGACTGAGAAGGGCCACAGGAAAATATGTGTATAAAAATGAAATGAATACGGCAACGCCATGCAGTGTGCCATGAGGGATATTTTGCCAGGCCATTGGCATTAGCCTACTCTTTCCCCTTTCAATTCCAAATGTCAGAGATCTTTTTCAAGTTTCACGTGCTCACAGGATCTTGGTTTGTTGTCAGCCCCTCCAACCTGCATCTTTGGTTGATCAGATGAAATAGAATGCACTATTCATATGGTTAGGACTTGGGTGGCACTCCCCCACCCCCTTTCCTCTAAATATGCCACTGACGTCAAAATCAACTTTCTAATAAAAAGCTGTCGCATGTTTATCTAAACTAATTTGCGTCTGGATACACGCGTAAAAAGCAATCTTATAGAAGGGACACAACTCTGCGATAAATATTATTAATTATTTTTTCTGAATATTTGATTGTAATTGTTATGGCAGACAATCAAGAAATTCCGTCGCCTGATGAACAGGATAATGCAAAGGATAAGGCTGAAGATGATGTCAAGTTTAAAGATCCATTGTTATCTGGTTTTGATAGAGAAAGTGACGACGATGGGGTAATTAATATCTCTTTGAATTTCACTCCCATTCTTAAAACATTATTATGGTGTCAGACAACATTTAATTTTCTCAGCCCATACTCAGATAAAACGATCAAAGGTTAAAAATGAATTGAATTTAATCTACACAACCATTTATACCCAGGTATTTAACGTATTGAAGCCATTCGTATTGTACTAGACCTATATAGTGTAAAGATGTCTTGTTTGTTTCAAATTAATATGCCACCTCGCAGACTCCCGCTCTATGCAATATCAGCATCCGCTGGAAGCGAACGTTAACTTGTCCTCTACCTACCTACCTGTTTGTTTCATTTTATAAGCCTACCTATCATTCATTCATCATTCAATTGATTTTGCAATGAAAATACAAAATCAATAATGTTCTTATTGCTGACCCCTTTTTTGAAAACCTGCTCGCATATTATCTTTTTTTTTCAGATGGAAAGTTTAGATTTGAATGCCTCAGTAAAATCTGATGTGACTGTTTCTAGAAGTTCAAGTCTAATAGCTAATTTTAAACTAGATGAAGATATTGATGCAGAAACAAAAGATTTGTTTATTGTTGTTGACGACCCAGAAAAACATACTAGTACCCTTGAATCTTATATTACATTCAGAGTTACTACTAAGGTTAGTTATTAGGTGGTGAAAGCAAAGGATTCGACTCGAGCATGTATCACGTAGCAGACAACAATCCAACTCAGTACCGACTGAGCTAGTGTATAATCATTGTATCATATCGTAAAATGGAAATCATAAGCTTGTATGATTATAAGCGATTGTAAGATTATAAGCGATTTTTTTCTCCAATAGGATAGTGCTCAATGTATAAATCAAATTCAGAGTTGTAGCATGAATGTCAACTCTCCTTTCAGACCAATAGAAGTGAATTTGAAGGTTGTGAATTAAGTGTAAGAAGAAGATATAATGATTTCTTATGGTTAAGACAAAGATTAGAGGAGTCATATTGTACACATTTAGTACCAGTAAGTAGTCTGTACACATTTATTACCAGTAAGTAGTCACTTTTAGTGTAAGTAAGCTTATACTATATTATATATGTAATACCAGTAAGCTGATTGTACACATTTAGTATTTAGTATATATTTATTACCCTAAGTTGCCTGTGGACATTTAGTACCAGTAATTACTCTGTACGAATACTAAATGTATCTTCTATACTTTCAGCCATTACCAGCTAAACACAGTTTAAAGAGATTGGATAGATTTAGTAATGAGTTTCTACGAATCAGACAAGCTGCTCTACAGAAGTTTTTAACACGTCTGGCTGACCATCCTGTCTTATCATTCGACAGAAATCTTCATGTATTTCTTACCGCTAAAGCATGGGTAAGGGTAGACATTTATTTTTGTGAATCAAGTCTGATTTTACAAAGATAGATCGCTGTACTACTGAGTGAAGTTTTTTTTTTAAAAGATTCTTACTATTCTGAAGCTGGTGTATCACAATTGGGTAAAAGAGTAAGCAAATCGTGTTTCTTTCTTGGCAAAATTTCCCAATTTATTTGATAGAATGATTGGTCTTGTGATGTTCATTTCAAAATTTGATGCGAAACTTATGATTTGCTTTTCTAATTATGTAGGAATTCCAATCCCACAAGAAACAGGGTTCTGGTATACTGTCTAGAGTTACAGATTCTTTACATAATATGGGAGCATCTTACATGATGAAAAATAGACCACCAGAGTTTGTCATCATGCATGACTATACTCAAACATTTGGTGAAAAATTAGGAGTTATGGACCGTATTTCTCAAAGAATTCTTAAAGAGGCAACAGGTAATGGCATGTGTGTTTTTATCAGCAATTCAACTAATTTACATGGTAAAATTCGATTTTTTTACCGTAACTGCAGTGATTAGTTGTTGGAGCATTGCCATAAAAGTAGCATGTTTATTTATTGGGTAGCACAGTACATAGGAAATCTATCATTATTGACTTTGCAGTAACTTGGTATGCCCATTGCTTGCCAGAATCTAAGTGCTAAAACCAACAGCAAATTTAATAGCAGCGATAATTGTTTTGAGCTTACCAATAATTTCATTTTTACAGATTACTTAACAGAGATCAATGAGTGGGCGCCATGTTTTACATTGTGGGCTAATTCTGAAGATAATTTAAAACCAACATTATTAGCTATGTCTAAAACTGTAGAAGACTGTGCCAAAGAACTCAAAGATATGGTAGGTTCAATAAAGTAACAACACCAAAAAATACCTGTCATATTGGTAGTAAGAACTCATCAGGATTAAGGGAATCAAACTGAAAGAGGTGATAGTGTCACTATCTATTTTACCACAAAACAATTGGAACCGATAATGTGACTGGAAAGTAGACATTCATAGCTTTGATTGAACTCCATGAGTCCATGCAGGCTATTTTCCTTAACATTTCAATTTTTTAAATGTTCTATTTTCTAGTTGGATTGCACTGATGATAATTTTGCTCAGCCATTAAAAGAATATGTATTGTATACAGAGGCTGTGAAGGTAAGCATGTTACACATTGTATTTGGTCTTGATAATACTTGAACTCTGCTGACAGCTGTCAGGTACATAGCTGGACACTGCCTTTTAACTTGTTTCAGATGAATTTCAAATTCATCACTAACATTTACTTAGAATACTATAAACGATTTTGTATTTGATGAATTTGTAGGGTGTTTTAAGAAGAAGAGATGCCATGCAGATGGAATATGATATGATAGTAGAAGAATTAGGGAAGAAAAAAGAAGAGAGAGAACAGGTAAGCTTCTTCAAGTTTTCAAAATTTGCTTACATTTTCAAATTTCAGGCATTAGTTCAATCAATTTTGCCTTTAGTCACATTAGTCACCAGAACATCAAAGTGGTCAGTTAGTCGCTTTCAGAACATCAAAAGGGAAGAATTATTTACTTCTACTACATTATTTCAATATTTGCTTCATGCTTTTTAGGTGAAAACATCAGATCAAACTTATTCTATTGGAGCTTTTCTTGGTAAAGATCCTGAAGACGTAAAAGAATCAAAAAGAGAAAAACTAGAACAACAAATAGTTGATGTAAGTGTTCGTTTCTTCAATTGATTTTGTAAAGTATCACTTTGAGGGAGTCTGTAGCAGAAATGCAAAACTGAAATTAATAACTGCTTAGAACTGCATTGAATTGAATTGTGACAGAACCCAGTGTTAATTTTTATTTTGAAAAAGATTAAGAATGGCTGCATTTCAATTTTATCAGCTAAGGCAGCAAGTATTTAGAAGATTACATCCTGTAAATGGCTGTATGTGCATATTATAATTACCTATGCTTATCTATATCTTGACATTCTGTTTTAAAGTTAACTCAACAAATGGACATGTTAAATGATAGAATGGTGGTAGCTAATGCTGATTTAAAGGCTGATATGGATAGATGGCATATTAATAAACAAAGAGATATGAAAGACATATTTCTCAATATGGCTGATAGAAACATACAGTATTATGAAAAGGTAGATTCATGTTTGTGGTCAGATAGATCTTGACCTTACTGTGCATTATATTGTTTCAATGAATTGAATAACTTAAGGGGCCCATACACATTCAAATAAAATTATCAATCAATAGAAACAGATAATGGCCACACACGATTCAATATTTCTATCATTAATGCCATCAACTCTTTGGTGATTGTTCATTGAAATTCTGAAAATATTGATTCTATATACTGAAAGATTCTTCACACAGGTCAATATTGTGTTTCAATAAATTGTCCTATCATTACAATGACTAATCATCAATGAAAATCAAACTGGTTTTGTATCAAGGGTTCTATGTTGTCTGACTCATAAAGGTTTAACAAATCAAGATGCAAGTCATAGTGTTATATACTGTATACTGATATTTACTTATTTCAGTGTTTAGAGAAGTGGGAAGCTATGGTATGTAATATCCAAGTTAAAGAAGAAAAACAAGAAACATCAGTCGTTACTGAGGATGGATTGATAGTGTCCAATTCCACATAGAGATCTTAATTTAGTTTATCTGTACACTGAACCATTCCTTGTTGCATCATTGAAACTGTTTGTAGGCAGGTTTTCTGGTCTGGTTTGCAACCGGCAAACATCGCTACTATTGTACCATAGTTGGAAAGAAATAAATCCAGATATTGCTTGATTGACAGTTCTCATTTGGAATCAAGCCCGAATAAGTATATATGAATCACAAAATGCTAAAAATAATGTCACATTCAATTTTTTTTCCACACTGTTTAAGATGATATTTTAAAGTGTGTACACTTAACTAGATACCCAGTGCACACTTAATTATATAGTAATATTAGTGCACTTTAAAATTAGTGAAAAAGTGCAATAAATATAAATGTTGTTGTTTATATGTTATCATCAATAGTATAATGATGTTTGTATTTATTATATGTATATCAGAGAGAAATAAACTCATTGAGAAAAGAATGAAAAAAAATGTATTACTTTGATGGTGTTCTTATTACTATCTTCAAGTTGATAAAATGGGAAATAATTATGCATATATAAGTTTCCTTGATAGTCAGAACTCAGAAATAAGGGGAATCTGATGCTACAGTTCTGGATTGAGTGTGAGCTATTTCTATGGAATTTTCTTCAGTGTACTGTTTTGTCATGGTGTTACTTGAAGTTGCCTCCCTTAGTATGGAAATCTATTGTTTCTCAAGCAAAAAGGCAAAAGGCTGGAGTGAATGACATACAAAATGCATCTAATCATTAGAAATATGTTGGACAGAAACTGAGGACTCTGACTGTGTATATTAAAAGAAAAACATTAGGCTAAGGCTGCTATCTATTCATAATTTCCTTAATTGCACACTACATGACTCTGTCTTCATTAGCCCAATCAGGTACAGTCAAATAATTACCCCCCACTACCTCAAGGAAAGAACAATAAATGATACCTCATCCATTGCTTCTGGGATTGGTCAGAATTAGAAAATTATATTCAATCCTAGCAGCTAGTTTACCAGCCAAATAATTACGTGAAAAGTACAACTTTTAGTACAAAATATTGCTATTTGCAGCATCAAACACTTTCTGGAATTCTTAAACCTATTAAAGGACATAGTTAAAAAAAATCTTTCAGAGATTTTACATCCTATAGTTATTTATGATGACCTCTGCACGTCTTGAAGCCGTCAGCAATATATAGAGATAATCCAATATTCAAGACACTTTCAAACAATAGAGTGTGCAAGAGACATAATTACATGAATAATGTATTTGTATAGCACAGTGTTTGTGTTAGACAGACCGATCTGTATTGACTAGGGATTTCAACATCAACTGTCGAAGTGTGTTTCAAAGTTTCTAAACCAACACCTTTATTTGATCAATCTGATGATAAAAGCTTAGCCCATCACAACACAAAAAAGAGTAAAATCAAGCTATATATTACCGTGTAAGCACTTTCTGTGAGCATTAAAGGGGTATGGTGTCTAATTTTCTGCTTAACCAACTGATAAAGCTCAATTTCAACCATCTGTATCACTTTTCAGAATTGAAATATGATGTCCTGTTCTTCTACAATTAAAAAAAAGCTACTATCACTTTTTGGTCTTTACTAACATCCCTGTGAACATTTATGACCCATGATGTCTTTATTTTTATCAGTCTATGCCTCTCAAATTCATTCTCATCATCATTTTCTGACAACACACAAGTTTAAATTGATTGAAAACAGACTCAAGAGCATTTACAAGGAAAAGGGATCAGTCAGGACAGATGCATCAACAGTATACATGGACTTTCAAAAAGAAATATTTGCATCACATACAACACTTGGAAAGTCCAAAAATGTAACCCTGTACTCATTAACAATGTATACAAATTCAATTATGAATACCATGACTATAGAAATGTCATTAAGAACAATAATAATGATATATTTTCTATGTATTGGTTACCAGCTGTTGTTTTAGCTGTTGATCTCCTTTTTCAATTTCATAATTATCACAGGGATATAGAAATATTTTCTACAGAAAACTTAAAATTTGACCTCTATCATGTAGTAAATCAAATCATTATGAATTGTTTCTAAAATGTCTAAGAAAGAAATATTTTAAGGTTATTTTCTAATGCAAAAATTGAAGCTTACATATTGTTCACCCTTTTGTTCAAAGAAATTTTTCCATAGAAAATTAACAAAGACAATTCTGTCATGCTGGAATTGGTAGACTCCCTTTAAATTTTGATGATGAGAAAATTTCCTTCTACTTTAAGAGCAAAATCCAAGGAGGCTTATCAGTGAAATAAAATTGCTTTATTTTCCCAAATCATTAAGAATTCAAATTGCTTTGCTTTGTTTGAAAGTTTTGTCATGTGCAGGTGAAAACTGACTGCATGTGATCTATAAGAGTAGAATATCAAATAGTTCCCTAATGAAGTACAGGGCAATGACCTATTGACAGACTGCCAACATATTCACACCTACACAGCAAAATAGCAGCAGAATACAATCTGATTAAATTGCAGATCTGTATGTCATCCAAGATCTGACCAAAAAACTATGATACACAAGTTCCAGATCATCAAAATATTCAACCAATCAAATGCTCTATTCAATAAAAGGAGCGTTAACTGCATGTGAGGTATTTTAGGAGAAATATCAATGCTAAGAGGTTTGGTCAAGGACCAGCTGGTAGAAAGGATCCTTGTGAACCTAAATTGTTATCCTTGTTCAGGTTTGTCAACTGTATGTGAGATATTCAAGGAGAGAAATATCAATGCCAAGAGATTTGGCTAAGGATAAGCTGGTAGAAAGGATCCTTGTGAACCGAAGAAAAAAAATGGCTATTTCATATTCTTGACCTCTCACCGTACACAATTCTATTGTCAATCAAATTAAATTGGCTGCATGTCAACTATGAAAGTCTCAGAATGGATTCATAGCAATGGACACAGAGCTAGGATTGTTCATTAATATTCTGCTCACTGAACTTAATATGAAAATTACAATACTGATAAACCATTGTGGTAATAAGAACCTAGGGAAAAGTAATTTCCTGCTGAAGTCTTTCAATCATCTTTAATCATTCTGTCGGAATTCCAATGAAATGGTGTTTTACACCCTACTGTTGTGCGCTTTTCACATTACTGAAGATGTACACTGAATTGTGCATAGAGTAAATAGCAGTTACTCCATAGTGTATGTTCATGTATGCAATAGACACTGTAGTTTGCATCTTTGATATAATATTGTATATAGATGATTTTAAATTTGATAGAATTTTGATAAATGATTTTTTTCAGTTATTTCCTTCAACTAAGACAAAATACAGAAGCCATAGTGTTCATAGCTTAATCTTTTTAAAATTACTTTGTGATTATAAACAAGAAAAGATATTCATCCTGAAGTATGTGTTCATGTCTCAAATGAGTTGGATTTTGACACAATTTGTATGCTTTTTAATACTTCACAATTCTTATTTTTCTTTGTACATTTAAATATTTCAGCTTGTGATAAAAGTAAACAAAAACCCAGAAATAATAACTGAATACAGTTTAAAAACACAGAATATTATGTTAGAATTCACATTGCTGAATTAAAATAGCAAGAATGAAACATGACGTGCATGAAATAATCAAACACTAAATGAGTTATGATGGATAATCATGGAATCTGTGACCTCATCAACCAAAATCAATGTTTTCCTGCAAAACAAGCAAAAACTAGGCTACTTTAATCATATTCCCAATAAAAATCAATACAAGAATAGCACAAGGGGTGAGCTAACTAGATGAATATTTTTTTCCGATGTGCAACTATTGCGTGTCTTCAGTCACCATGGAATTCAATCTCTTTTGTGTGAAGCTATGTGATTGACCCACTAACACTGACCTCCTTTGTTGAAGAGTTTTTTCATTCAAAACTAATGAAGGAAATCCATTGGACAAAATGTCTGCATGATAATATCTTTGGGCGCCATAGTAACCAATTTCATTTCTCTTTGTAGCTTTGTCTTGAAAGGCTCCAACTTTATGTTTCATTTGTTATTATAAAAAAAATCTTATCTGGTAGACTTTTTTTCCAAACCGACCAACCAAAAAATAAATAAATTCAATATTCTTGGATCCATCATTCTATTGCAAAATCTTGTTGATAATTATAGAGTATTTCAAATTAAAGGAATAGTTCTTGAATACAAATGAATGAATTCAAAGAAATCTAACAGTTTTGTTGTCTATTTCTATACTTTTGTCCCTTGACATCAATGCATGAAAGTAGCCATTTTGATTCATTGCGTGATGTCTTGTTGAATAAAGTGAAAGAAAAAAAAAACAGAACAATCATCTGACACCCTTCATAATATTTGATTAAGTAATAAATCCAGAAATAGATCACTGATCTCTACATCAATGACACTCTTTCAAACAGATAGATGTAGTAGACACAATCCTTAAGTCTAAGAATGTCTCTTGGGTCCAGGGATGTAAATGACTAAGAAGCCAATAAAAGTGTCATTGTCAAATTTATTTTGTTTAAGATTTTGGAAGGGTTTTCTACAAAGAGACCTAAACTTTATCAATGCTCACAATTCCTTTAAAACATATTTGACATATTGTCCAAGGTACTGCAGTGGATCTATCATATCAACTATTTCTTAAGATGCCCTCACACCATAGCTATTACCAGTTGCGCATAGTGAATAATGAAAATGGTCATGAGTATGGAACATAACTCACAACTCAGTTGCATGAGAGTTGCGTTTATAACTTATGACAGCTATTCTTATATGCAATGGTAATCGCCATTGTGTGAGGGTCCTCTTTTTGTTTTTGCTAGTGACTTTGAAACCATAATGTGCAGATAACACAATTCAAGCTAATGACTAAGGGTTAACAAAAAAGACAGTTGCATGTCATGTTTTGACATCAAAGAATAAATTCAATCTTATTTTATTGTTTTATTTGTAAAGAAAATTTCGTGAATTAATTATGAAGGATGCAAGACACTTTTTTTCATCAAACAAATCAATGCTTCAGACATAATCAATTTTGTTTACGTTTGAATTTGGTTTGCGTTAGGTTGTCAAATATTTTTTTTAAAACCCCCTTATCAATAAATTACTTTATCAAAATAGTTTTTTTACAGGCTGCCAATCCAATCAAAATGGCCTTTTTCGTACAAGGTATTGCCACACTCCTATTTTATTTTCAAGTTGCACATCATGCTGCATATTATGTTGGTGTTCATATTTTCTAAACAAACCGTAATTATGGCTACACGGAAGAATTTTGATTGACTTTTTTGAAATGATGTGACCTCTTGAACCTCAGTTAGTATAATTGGAGTTTGTTCAATTAAGACAGTGTTATCACAATGGAAGATAAAAATGTTTATCACAATAACTTTAATCAATACATTTATATCACAACTAATCATAATATCACATTTAATATATAAGTCAGTTAGAATATCCAAACTACTATCACAAATGTGTATTTAAAAGTTAAAATCAATTAAAATTCCATCACGAACTATCAACAAAATTCATAAAATCCATCACAATTACTGTTTCTTTCACATTCAATGGTTGGGACAATATTTTCATTTCTAAAATGAGATTGGTTATCACAAAACTAATTTTATCTTTCATGTTGACTGTCTTTATCACAATGTGTACTTCTATGCTTTTAAAATAAATTTTCCTAGATAAAATGTATGCTTATCATGAAACTAATATCTATCACGTTGATTGTCTCTATCACGATGTTGAATTCTGTACGAGGGTACACTAGTTAATGAGTTAGTTGAGTTCAGATTATAACAGTTGCCAGAACGCTGCATTTCATCTCCATGTTCCGATCTGAAATTTTGGAATACAACATGTCATGACCATATAAGGTCTTAAAATAGAGAAAGAAAGAAACAGTTCCTCATGTATAATTAATAAGATGTTAATGGTGCCAATGGTTCTGCTAATATTTACAGGAACAAGTTGTTGGTTTATAAGGATTGAAATTAAACCGCAAATCAGTTAAAAATCTTTATCTGGTTTACAAAATCTGAAATTTTGATCCAGCAAGGACTTTCATGGATTAGGTACAGAATCGAAAATGCAATGTTAAATAATATATTGCATATGAATTAGGAAAGGCTTATAACTTCTATTCGCACCATTACAATTTTTTCGTCTGGCAACTGTATTTTCTGTAATTTCCAGAAATTTGAAGACTTAAGATGTAAATGCCCCCTGACTTACCTTGAAAAGTAGCGATCGTCATAGGTAATTTTACTATCGTTGATAGGATCTGTCCGATCTCGTGATCTACCATACATGGCTTTTGGTACTATACTACTACTAGGCTTAGTACTTATTAAACCAGTCATCTTATAATAATCTAAAAACGTCCTGGCTACATTTCTACCCAGTTTCATATCTTAAATAATTAAGGAACCCAATAATCCTATGTATAAGCAATCCAATAGAAAATTGAACATTTCGCACAATTCATTTGTATACATTGACATGCTATTTCAAGCATTTTCATATTTTAAAGAGACAGACATCTAAATATTTGTTTTGAGATCTGATAAAGCTTAATGTCAGCAACCATTGCTGGCTTCAAAAAGGATACAGCCTTCTTCAGTATAAGGTGTAGCTTGGCTTGATGAATTAGTTTGATAACTAAAGAAGGAAACTTCTAACGTATAACAATGGGCAGAATCATCTAAACAACCTCCCAATGTCCTGAAAAAGAAGTAAGAAGATTCAAAAGTCATGCAAAACACATAAAATTTCTCAAATTCATAGACTTTTTGTGCTAAAATAAATAATACAAAAAAAATTCTTGATATGCTAAAAAAAACAGAAAAAAATTTCTTAAGCTTGAGCAGACACACAGCATGCCTAATTTTTTATACTCAAACTGTTCGAAACAAACTGAATTTATTGCACTTAAAATTAAAAAAAAATACAGAATTTTTATACCCAAACTGTTCAAAACATACGGAATTTATACCCAAACTGTTCAAAACATACAGAATTTATACCCAAACTGTTCAAAACATATGGAATTTATACCCAAACTATTCAAAACATACAGAATTTTTATACTCAAAATGTGCAAAACATACAGAATTTCTTCGTACCCAAAAATGTTCAAAACACTAATTTCTGGTACTCAAATTACCAACAGGAGAACCAACAGCAATATTAAGACAAATCAATCCCTTTTAACTATTAGCGCTATCTACAGATTTGCACAATAGTAAGTATTCAATAAATCAATTGAATATCTTAAATTATGTACTAGTAATTTTGCTAGTACAATTAGTAGAAAGAAAACGGTATTATTTCAAGTCAAGAACAATAAATGCCTGATAGAGGTCTATATACCTATTATTACCATTGTTCTAAACAATATCAATCGAAAACAATATAATATCTGAAATTGTTAATAGAAAGTTCATGGTGTCAAAAGCTTTTATGTGTTCCAGTCGCCAATATAATAGAATAGAAAAACATAAGTTCCATGCCAGCTATGGCAGGTATAAGGAAACAACTAGAGAAATTAACAGATAAATGACATTAAGTGTTTGGTGCTTGGAAAAGCTTTTGTATGTATCCATTGATTTTTTAATACAATTTATACAGAGTAGAGGCTTTAATATGTCCTTTGGGTTGAGAAAGTATTTTGAGCTATAAAGTTCTCATGAACAGGAACTCTTCAAATTGACTTATATATTGAATAAAGTTCAGGATGCTGATTTAGCAATAACCAGTCATGTCTGATAGACAGTTGACAATGTGTTGCTGTAAATTTGGTCTTCAAGACATTTTTAAATAACTCAAGGATGGGCCATAATCACATATTAGAATCTCAATATTTTTCGTGCTCTTGAATGTGTATCTCTAAAACTTATATACATGTATTGTTTTTCCACTTCAATTTCTCATCTGACATCTTTGGTTCATGTAATGCCAGAATAACTTGACTAGATAATAATGTCACTAGCGAAAACATTGTGTAATAGATGCTATAAGTGTCTCTGATCTGCAAACAAGGGATTTTGAAGAAAATATTCTCTAAAGATTGGTGTAAAAGAATGACAGAAAAAATAATAACATTGGATATCAATCCCCTAGGTTATACCTTATCTTACAACTATAAGATAATTCATGAAATTCAGGAGAAAAATCTGAATAATTGTCCAGTAGCAGAAGTACAAAAGGAATTATTGCTGAATTAGGAATATTCATCCTCTAAACATCCTATACTCATGTATAATTCAATTCATGATCTATGATATGAATAATATCTACACAAAAACTCCATCTTGAAAGAGATAAAAAGATTTTTCCATCAGAATACCAAATCAGTAGAATTGAGAATTTATTGGTGCCACTATTATCAAGTGGTTTATTATTTAGACATAAGTCGTGTTATATGTCAGTAACCGGACAGAAAACAATACATTTAGTTCAGGACAAGAGCAATCAATTTTAAAGTGACTAGACGCAAACATAAAAATTCGATTTTCTAAATTCAGTCTCCCTTTCTATTTTGGTCAGATGCGCCAATAGCCAATAGACTTGGATTTTGGGTAATTTTTCAATATGTAAGCTTATGATGTCATTTGCCTATTTATGGGAAGAAAGTTTATCTGTACCAGAAACATATAAATTAAATGCAAAAAATAATCATTGCCATGATGTTTGGACGACCAACTTCTAGACATTGTCAAAAATTCTCTGCATGCTCATTACATGTCAGCTAGCCTTGGATGTATCAGACATAATTTTGTGCTCACGGCGTCGAATTGATTGGAGTTATTTTGACCAATGAAAAGTACTGTCTCAAAAGCAGAAAAATTACAACATTCTGACGGTGACCTGAAGAGCAGACGGCTTTTATTCTTTCTGTATAGCCTAGACATTTTTACTGTTAAAGTTATTCTCAACAATTTATAAGAATTCAGAACAATTCATGATCGATATGCCAACCTGTTTCCAGCAAAGGCTCTAGTAAACAGATCATTCCCTTCCTGAATCATGCTTAATCATTTTCAGTTGCTTTAACTGTTCTATTTCTGGAAAGATGATTTATTTGTAGTCATTAAACCTTCAAATTTCATAATATTCATATTTGTTTTGTTTTTCTGGTTTCATAATGACCAGTAATGATCTACAGCTCTATTAAAAGTTTTGAAAATTCAATATTCCTCTATATTGTTTTGTGAAAGTGCATACTTTTGCTCAATTTGAAATGGGACCTCTCCTTTAAAATGGAAATCTTCTTAATTGGACTCTTCTAATCAAATGTCAGTCAAACAAGCAAACACAACTATTGATTACCTCTGCTCTTCCATGCCAGATGCAAATGAATAAAGGTTGCCATGACGACAAAATACCAACAGACAATGCAATTGACTTGTAAATGAAGTCATTACGATTATGAATATTGTCTTAGGGAAAAAAGACAGCATTTAATGTCTAAAATTGTCAGTCTCTGAACAATTTTGACAGGCAAGGGATCAAATGATTGTGGGGATCAAAATATTGCGGTAATTTCTTCTGTTTTCTGTCTAATTAAATGTTCAGAAGTTTTGTTTATGGCCTAGTGTAGGTTTTTACTCAAACAAAAACAAAACTGGCTGATTGGCAACTGATGTTTTTTGGGCGTTTCTCTAGAGTTTTGAAATTCACACTTGTTGATTCTGAAGAATATCTTACAGGCAGCTATTTTAATTCCCCCTCATATCCTAGATAATTGAAATATGTGTTTTTAGCATGCCTTAGAATAATTAGCCACTATAGGAAAATAAAAAGCCAATAACATATACAACTGAAATGACTTTGAAAGCTTGGAGGTCAAACAGGAAATTAATATGAATATATGGGTGTTTCAGAATTACGAACCTACAAACTAAATGACAAGCTAATGAAAACGACATACAAACCTCAAGCAAAATAAAAAGATAAAAAAAAAATTTATCTTATGCCACAAAATAAATCATGCATAGAGACTCTTAAATTTTGGAAGACAGGTGAATCAAAATTATATTTAGTATATTCTATGAGACAAAACTTTACAAAGAACAAATTTCAAAGCTATTTTATACTGTCTGGTTGTTTGTAAAACTCTCCCACCTTTGTTATAACCAATCAATTGAAGTTTTCATGCTATCCTCATACATTCACAGACCAAATCGAGAGAGGTTGATGTGCTGTGCTGAGATATTTTGATGTGGTTTTCCAATGAATGACTCAACAATACAAACACTACAAACTCCATCCAATTAAGTTAAGTGAATAGCTTTGCCCTTTGTGTTTGGAATGACTTTAATATCATTAATGCTATGGCACACATAACATCACACAAAACCATCTCTTCGACATAAAGATTTCAACACTTGATTTAATCTGCGATCAATTTTTTTGGAAGGATATTTCATCAATTTTTTGAACATCAATATAAAGATGTCTGATGGTTTAGTCAGTCCATAATAAATCAAACTCCTACAGACTGTCTGCTTTAAAATTAGATTTCATAATATTATTTAAAAAAATGTTTCAGACAGTCAAAAATCACAAATAAATTTCATTTTTACCAAATATTGACAATGAACATTTTTTTTAAGCTGGCCACAGATTGAAATGGCGTTTGTAACGTGTCATTCATCCAGAAAATACTCCCTTTTTTTTCTTTAAGATTTAGATATTCTTATGAAAGGATCAACAGATCAAATAAGGATTGAACATCTTTACATTAATGTCACTAGGGTAGGGTCCATGCAACTGAGAATTAAGCCCCAGCAAAACTCTTCTTCAGTGCAACATATATTGATTCATTTTCAGTAACTTTGTGAAAAATCAAAGATATAGATTTTGATACATCTTGTCACCTCAAAATAGTCAGAAATAAGTTCTCTAGGTCTTTAATTCTTCAAATTTTCCTAGTAAAAAATCTGAACCCCAGCACCAACACATTCCTGGCGACGGGGTTGTTAATGTTGACAAAAATGTAGCTATTGTGCCATATTTTTAATAGAATTATAGAGGCACACAAATTATATCCATTTTTTGGACAAAAAAAATACCTGGGACATCACTTTTAATACAATTTTAAATGATGCAATACATAAAACCTGAAAATCAGTCCCAAAAGACATAAAGAGCTTAATTTGCCTTCTTCAGTTTTTCTGGGAGATAACAAGTACTTGATCAATAAATGAAAACATGACTTTCAAAGCTGCTACAAATAAATTATAAAAAATTCTGACACTTGCTGCATTTCCAGGCGATCAATTCTATGACGTGTCTAAAACTCAAACATGGCTCTGATGGTTTGTTCAAATTAGTTCAAGAAATACTGATGATTCATTAGAAACTGCGACTCAAGTGCACAATATCGTATTGTGGTTTGTTCATAAAATCATAGACTATACTCAATAATATTAATGGATTGATGAATTATTTTTTTATTTCTGATCTGAAGGAATTGTGAATCATCATTTCTAGGTACTGAAATCTATTTTTAAACATCATCCCACTTTTATTAGTGTTTTTAATGGGATAGCGTACATTTCTAAATACCAAAATTCAACTGAACACAATTCAAAGGAGAATTTCCACAGATCAAGGAGAGCCAGTGTAATAAACTATGATATTATCTCAAAGAAATGTACCGTCTTAGCATTTATTCATCTAAGCATTTATTCGTTTGTAAATAAAATTCTAATTGATTGTTTCAAAGTGAAATTAAATATCAGCTTCAAAAGAAAATAGATTATATTAGAAAGGCCATGCATTGATGTATAATATTTTGAAATTTACGTTTGAAACAGATTTGAACCCAAAAAGTCTCAAATTTTGGCTGAAAATAGTCCTTATGTTTTCTCATATCATCACTAAAGGTGAGGGCACTACGATTTTCTTTTTTGAATCAACCAAATAACTGCCAAATATTTGAAATAAACTTACCTACGACCTGTACCAGCTTTAACAGCATCTCTATTAAAATTAGTGTTGGTCATTGAGAAGTCTTCAGCATTACCACATAACAATTTAGGAAATATAGAATGTCTTTCAAGTCTTTCCAGGTCTTCATACACATTACCGTACATAAACCCATTCATTAGCGTTGAGTGAGCATGTATATCAATGTAGAACTCTAAATTTAAACTCTGAAAGGAAAAAAATATTCTTATTAGGAATTTTCAATGACTCAGTTGCCTTAACCTTCTGAACACCAGCAACTATTCAGCTAAATAGCTTGAAGAAGTATGGTCTTTTTCACCTTTCAATACACAATGTTCAAGGGGTTAATCATGGAAAAATCACACCTGGTTTGAATGATATTTTGTCCAAATTACATAACTCTTGCCAGCACATAAACTAAACACCTTAGGCGTTTTTGTGGGTCGATTCGATTAGGTAGATTAGCTAATCTGTACATTTGTGAGACAGTTTACCTAAACTGATTTGGCTAATCGTCCTAGGTGGTGGTTAAGCGATTCGATTAGGCTTTTCCAAGATGGCGGCATGTGGAAGTTGCTAATGTAATCAAAATAGCTGTCTTTCATTGGTTGTCAGCAGAGTCAGCCATATTGCTAAATCGCGGATTTGAATTTCGCATTTGTGGACCACTGCTAATCTAAACCAAATTGCACCAAATAGTACTATCTAATCGAATACAAAAACGCCTCTAATTTAGATCATTTATCAATTAATTATGTTTCACTAATGTGTGTCATTTATACAACTAGGTTTTCCATGAAAAAATTATATATATTCATGTTTGAATAATACACAGATGTTCATAATTATCTTTGATCCTTTATATACCAAACAATTTTATCGAGGACCAGAAGACTGCATCAATTCTAGAACTTTCTTGAAAGGAAACCCAGAACTGATCTCTATATACTCTCATTATAAGATCAAAACCTTATTACAAAGGTATTACATTCTAAATTTTCTCTCTGATGTATTAAAATTAGGCAATTATCTGGAAGCTAATAGACAGCTTATTTGGCTGGCTGTCTTTACTAATTTCCTATTTTGGTAAATATTTTAGTAAAATTTTCACCATTTTTCAATCTTAGAGTTCAAAAGAATGAGAAACAAAAAAAATAGAAAGAAGAAAAATAGAGCGAAAGGAAGAAAAATAGAAATAACAAAAGAAATAACAAGATAACAACCATGTAGGATAGTAAAACCCCATTTCTTTTGAAGGTGTCCATGTAGGGAATTATTTAGCCAAATATTATGTGTCAGCAGTACGGGATGAACTCTTTTCAAATTTCTAAAAGACATTGTACATTTACTAGTCCTTGACCAAACGTCGCGACATTAATCTTTCCTGGCTTATCTATGCCCATGATGTATTCATAACGAGAAAAAGATCAACTTACATGGAACAAGGCCACAACTACTTGGACCAACTAAAAAATCAGTTATTCAAAGATGGTGTCAACAGTAAATATAAGCTACCGGTATATATAACTATCAAAATCAGAAAAAAATAGTTAAAAAAAACTGTTACTTACTGGATCTCTATCAAGTCCCATTAGAAGATTTTTAGCTGAATAAAGTGTAGGATGAGCCCATGGAGACGGTTCCTGCCAATGCCGATTTAAATCAAAACCCATTAGAGAACACCTAATAAAGGAAATGTTACATTAGTGGTTTATAGAATGTCAGAAACAATTATCTTAATACACTATGAAATCTTGATTTTAACAGTTTGGTCTGTCTAACTTTGATTTTATACAAAAATTAGTTCTCAAGTAACGATGTTTTTTCATTCTTCAACAACTCAATTTTTCAGGGTATAATAATTGGAATTTCAAGTGAATACGCCATTACATCTGATCAAAATTAAATGCAGTCTTACATTCACAAAGGAGAAAATTGTGGTTTTATTGCAGTCAGTAATAGACATCACTAAGTTGTCTTCCAAATTGGATCTAATGTGAATAATATTCAAATTTCAGACATTAAGGATCTTCAATGTTCTATCCAATGTAAAAAATACCAAGAAATTGTACAAATATGCATTGAGCAGTGGTAAACAGCTCTCAAAGCAATCACCATCATAGCATATTAAAGTCAAAAAGTCTAGTTATTCAAATGTTTTTCCCCCTTTCCTATTAGTAAATTGTCTGGATAGTTCAGACACTATAAATTCAAATTTGGCTTGAAGTCTTAAAACATTTTTTTACATTTTTTCTTAATGATATAGATGTATTAAGACACAAGGAACAGACAACAGCAGTTGTAAGATTTGCAAAGATACCAACGTATGATTTTGACATATAAATGATGCTGCAATTTGAAAGCAAAACCTGTGCAGCACAATTTTTCAGAAGAATACATTACGTCCTGGAACATTTAAGCTAACATCATCTGTCAAAGACCACTAACTTGGAAAATATGACTGTAATATGGTAATTATCATGCCAAATATTAAATGTTTGGCATCTCTGGGTTAAGAACTCTTTCTTTCTGGGACGTCACTTTCAATGATTGTCAGTTAATTTTCAAAATCAATTACCTCCAAGAATTATGTTTATACATCACAAGTTAAAACAGGAATAACTTGTATTAAATGTCTAAAACAGTTTACAGTCTTTGACATATAAAGTCTATTATGCAAACCTCTCATGGAAAAATATCTAATATGTCCCTAGAGCTTAAAAGGTTAATAGTTAAAATTGATGAATTCTTATCCCTCAAGACTTGAAACCATTTACATGAATACATACGGGCCAAGTATTGAAAAGGTTAGACTAATTCTGGATGCATTGGAAAAGATATTTGAGTATTAGATGTAGCTCAGTGATAATCAGAGGGGATTGCAAATGACATTTTGATTCATGTAACAGCATGCATATTGATTACTTCAGAGACACGTTGATGTGATACAAATCCACGATAAGAATGAATGAATGAATTAGACAATGAATAAAAAATATTGTTAACCTTGTACATGTAAGGTTAATTTTTTTCATCCAATTTGTGGTAAAAGTTCAGCAGTCTGTACGACTTATAACATTTAATACAGCTTCAACATAAGGCAACTATTGTTTAAATGTATTAGGTAAAAAAGAGCTGCTCAAAATGAGATAATTCTATTCATAATAAATCCATCTGATTCGTCAATATGGGAGTGTGGGAAATATTGAAGCAAGCACAACTCCCAGTGGACAATTCATGAGCATAGAACAAAATGTTCCTTCAACAGATTTTTCTTGAACGTCATTTAGTCCTCACAATATCTGATCAAAATCATAAAGATTTAAATATATAAGACAATGTGATTATTGATCACTGTGATTCATGAAAACAATGATAGAATTCTGATCCTGAGTCACTTTTAAATTAATAAATTTCAGTTTTAAGCCTAGGTTCCAAGAATTTACTCTTAGTGTTTGTGTAAGCTTACCTGAAAAAATCTTAGTATATTAGGTCAAAAGAAAACATCGAAAACCTTGATGGATTCATTAATGGTTCATCTTTTTGATGATACCAAAAGTTGTGGCAAATTTTTTCATAGTGCAAATTTGAAAAACTAGTAATCCAAAATAGACCAGAGCAAATTGGAAGGAATAGGTAGGGTAAGGTTTTATGGGCTATCCTGAGAGCAGAATTTTTGTCATTGTCCAGTTTATGAGAAGACACAAGAAGTCAAAAGATAAAACTGACATCATTTATTATAGATTCTGATTCATCAAACTAATTGTAAAATCTAATAAGACTTTTCGATAACACAGGAAACCCTTTGTGATTTACTATTACTTGAACAATAAAAGCAATTTCATTAAGGGTGAATTGGGATGACAACCTAGATTGTATTGTGTAAACATTATTAACATTAACAGAGATATGATGATAAGTAAACAATATACCATAAATCTAGAGAGCAATATGAGCACAAAATATTGATGCAAGCTTAAGAGTAAATGCAAATAAATAACTTTACATGTGCAAGAAACTGATGCCAGCAAAAATGGTTCAATTTAGACATTGATGTGAGCAAAAAATAATTTCATCAAAGAGTAAATGAATGGCAGCATGAAATTTAATTCCAGCATGGAATAAATTAGACCAAAAGATAAATCTTCGGATGAAAAAGTTATTCTAAGTAAAGAAATTTTAAAAGGATGAAAATTAGATTCATGCGAGACTGAAATAATGCATGCAACAAAGTTCTTGCAAAATGAAATTAATACAAATTAAGTTCGTCCTCAATGACATGTTCATTTTCAAACACTCATCATTCATTCAAAGCCAAAATATTTTTTTTTTTTCAATGGCCTACACCTGTCAAGCTTGTATTAGCATCTCATTAAGATTTACATAATTTAGTTTGTTGATTTAAGTCAGACTTAAAGAAATAAATAAGCTTATTCTCTGACACAATGAGCTTTAATACTATGGTCAATTTCATGACCTGTCTGAAATGATTTGGACCACAGATGGACCAGTTTTCTCCTGATTTCAAAGGTGGCTATTGTGGTGTAAACAAGATCATTGTTCATAGGTTTGGACAAGAACCAGCTGGATTTTACATTTCTATAGGAATTAAAACTGATTTGCAGGTCTTCACTGATTTTGAAAGTTTCTTTTGACTACACAAAAAAGTTTGGATAGAAATTCTAAAATCTTAAGATCTTTCTGATAACATCTGTACACATTTTCAGCTGGGTAAACTGGAATATGTCAGGCTATGCTATTGAAAATGATGTCATAAACGTCCAATAAATAATGCTCTACAGTTCATTCTCAAATTTTTTAAATCCATATGAAATTTTGTGATCGTGGTCATGGTAACTAAATGGATGCTTTTAAAATTTGCTTGTACTGAGCATTAACCTGATGTGCTCCAATACATTTAATATAATTAGCTACTACATTTAATGAATTAGGAATGAAATCAAGTAGGAAACTCATATATTGTATTTATTTAGTTCCATGGTAATCCTATGGAAACAAGATCACTTCCAACTTGTTTGTACAGTTAACTCAATCTAATTAGTACTAATTGTAAGACAAACATGTCTAAAAATAGACGTCAGGAACCAGTGCCAGACAGACTAAGTCAATTTCTTTTACAAATATGTTGTCCCACCAAACCTTAATTCTTATATTCAACAAATATAACTTTCTTAAATCTTAATAAATTAAAAAAAAAAATATACATTTTCTATCTACACAACTTTTGAAAATTTCAATACATGGATAGTAAACAGTCACACATTTACATTATCAAGAATAGATATTAAATCATCTTCAACAGTTTGAGCACAACAATGTCATCGCATCCTTGGCTATCAAAATCCTTTCATTTGAGTAATATCCTAAAGAAAGTTTCCTAATTACTAATTCCACTGAAAATCACTCATTTGATGCACTATAATTCATTGATATCACTGATGGAATGCCCCCTTTAATATCCTTAAGTGCAAAGAAACTTTTTAGAAATAATTTCATTTCTGACTCCAAGCCAAATTAAAATACATTTTGATAGCGATTTTCTTAAATGTCTTGATAACCCAGACTACATGATTTGAATTATTGTGAAGGGAAAAAAGACTTATCGACCTTTTGGAATTCTAAATACCATACTTGATAATGTATCTAATGTTATGATTGCTGAAGAAATTTTTTACACTATTAGATGTGTACAATATCTTGGTATTTTATAAATATTGTTTACAATGTGAATAACTTTTTTATTCCATAAATTTAAATATTACTGACAACAGACATCTACTGGGAAGGCTACAAAGAACATCTCGCGTAATTAGTGTCTTAAATGATGTTGCTATTCCACATAACTTCTATTCAACATTAGAGCATGTTAATGATCGATCAAGCTTCACTTACCTATAATTTCCTAAATATACTCCATCAGGGTTCAACATAGGTATGATTTTAAAAACTAAATGTTCACGTAATACTTTAGCTATAGGATGATTACTGACCAGAAAATCTGTAATACCTACAAAGAAAAGGAACATCATATTGACCTCTCGTTAAAATTGTTAATCATTGATTCCAAACTAACTTTTGCTTGCTTTGAATTTCAAAGACCTCAACAGCATACTTAGACTGGCCTTGACATGCATATTATATTAAAGACTGTCCTTGACATACATATTATATAAAAGACAGACCTTGACATACACATTATATTAAAGACTGGTCTTGACATACATATCATATTAAAGACTGGCCTTGACATACATATCATATCAAAGACTGTCCTTGACATACATTTTACATGTATACAAGACTGACCTTGACATTCATATAATATTAAAGACTGGCCTTGACATACATATTATATTAAAGACTGCCCTTGACATATATATTACATTAAAGACTTACCTTGACATGCATTAGATATAATTGACAGACCTTGACATACATATTATATAAAAGACTGCCCTTGACATACATACTATATAAAAGACAGACCTTGACATACATATCCTATTAAACACTGCCCTTGACATATTATATAAAACTAACCTTGACACAATTAAAACATAAATAACACTGACCTTGACATACATAAGATGAAGGTGTTTCACCAGGATGAACTCGAGCTGTAATAAATACTAATCGCTGTTTTTCACCATTATTATCATCTTTTTTAAGATTTTTAGGATGAGTAATGGTGAGTAGATCTAATCTTCTCTGTTGCTATTAAAAAAAATTTTATCAAATCACTATCTTAAAACAACATTGGTTAAAAAGTTTCTGATTTTTGTCACTTGAATATAAAAAAAAATGTCAAAGTAACCTAGAAAATGATGTTATTCTAAAGCTCTAAATGCCTGTTCCTCAAGCCTGTCCTCAATAACACTATAAAAATACTTACCACAGTTAATGCCAATAGTTCCCGATTGAAGAAATCGTAATTTTTCTTCTCTAAATTATCAAGATAATTCTGTAGACGTGAGTACGAATAAGGGTAAGAATATGAAAATTGATAGACCTCATCTTCTCGATCAAAACAAAATGCAAATGACATGACGTAGTTCTTTCGATGATCAGGACAACGATAGTAATACACATTTTTTGTTGGAATTCGACTCCTGAAAAAGAATTACCAATAATAATTAATATTTCTGATATTTTGTCCTCTCCATTGTAATCAGTGAATTCACCTGGTGACACAACTTTACAACAGAATCCCTCTGTAATCCATTTAATCCATAAAATAACCAATTACCCATAACAATGCAGGTAGTTTGCGAAAAACACGTAATATTTTTAAAAGTTTTTCAATAACTATTTAGTTTTATGTATCTTACCATTTTGGTCGACTTGTAGTTTTTACTAAAGGGGTCATCCCTTCTCTGTATAATGACTTAGTTTTACTGAAGTTAACAATATTGAATATAACTCTCTGAAAACCAGAAAAAAGAAAACATCATTTGAAAATTCGTAATGGTGCTAAAAGGATCTGCATAAACGTTCTTTAAACACCAACGAGCGAGAAAACCACTTTTCCAACTGTTTCTGATACATAAAGAAAGGCCAAATAAAAATCTAAACTTCATTTAAATTAAGCCAATATTCTCACCTGATCTGTTTTAACATTTTCTACTGTAAAATTGAACCAGACTCGAAATCTAGGATTACATGTATCAGGTCTAATAAATAAATCATATTCTAAATCAGAAATATAATCTACTCTGCCTAAATTACCTGCAAAATATTACATAATAAATTGTATTCTTTGTATGCTTAGAGTTTTTCTAAAAACTCCTTTCAATTCTTGCAATATTGATAGATGTTGACTAAAAACGTAGTACTCTGCTTTTGGGACAGTTTTGCACACCCAACACATAGGGAATGGGTAATTGTGCACAGGATAAAACCAAAATTGAAATTTTGTTGCCTGCTCTGTTGACAAACACAGTCATTGAGTGGTTGTCTGGGGTTTTTACTTGGTAAACTTAAATTGTGTTGATCACTATTTTGAACTGAATTAGATACGGGGATGGACATAAATAACTCAGCTTGACAATACTTACCACATTCAAAACAGGCATCAAATATAAGATGTCCTTTTTTAGGTTTCCCAGAATAGCCTGACGGTACCACAGCAAATTTATTAACATTGCCAACTACATCTTCAGTACTGTCTGAGTCACTGTTCACTACAATTAGATTTTATGACATTATTTTTAACAGGAAAATATGGGTTAGTGAAGGAACATAGCCTAGGAAATTAACATCATTTCATGCCATGTCATTTCATAGGCCCATACGGTAGCCATTTGTTTTTCATTTAATTCTCAAAGTCATATTATTTGCCATTTTGAAAGGATTACCGGCACAATTACTTACTTGGCAATATGTATGAGAGAAGGGGTTGACAACCTAGGCCCTTGTTCTTAAAATAAAACAGAAGCCCAAGTTAACAAGGAATTAATTAAGAAGAGAATTGTCAGTAAAATGGATCACCACATGCCACAGTACATAGTTTCATGGTCTTAGCTTTGTTGATGGATTTTTTTTAGCATCTTTCTTCATATGTTTGTTAGTTCCAAAATAGTGTGTTTACTTATGATGAGAATGACTTGTTGTTCCTTACAAATGATATTGATAGGCCTATTTCTTTTACTAATAACATGATTCATATTCATAAACAAAACACACTCTCATGCAGTCATACCTATCTGTAGGCTTATTGTCATGTCAGTTTCTTGCACATGTGCTAACTTGGCCCATGGCATTGCCAGAACTCGTGCGCATGACAATGGCATAGTCAACAGACCTACTACTATGAATCTTGGATTGGAATTGGCTTGAATTAGTTGAATCAGTTCATTTTATAATGTGATCTTCTGGTTGTATAAAACAGTCTTGAGAAGTTCATGGAAATGGGGACAATGTTTAGCTTAGAATGAAATAATTTAAAAAAAAAAGGCAGAGATCGTGCAATGTGTGCGCCTGGCAATTCAATTTTGATAATAACTAACCTGATTCAGCACGCTTGTCGGCCATTTTTTGGCTTTGTTATTGTTTACCTTAGCTACTACGTCAAACCTCGACAGGTTCTCGTGATTTGATTGGCTAAAATATACCTGTCAAATATTTTCACCAATCAGCGTTGAGAATTGTTGAACTGCGCTAATGTAATAATTTCCTCATGATCTGTGACGTCACGCAGCATGTAACATGAATCGTATGGAAATATTGAACCGTTATTTTAGCTTTGCAGACAAAGCATGGACGAAGTAGTGAATGACATTTCGGTTCAAGAAATAACTTAATCAATAAGAAAATTCCTCAACTATTTGGATTTGATTATAAATATGGAATATGTCGTAAATTGAAATGAAAAGAAACTGATCTACGATCCACGACTGAAAATGAAATAATATGAACAGCTGTCAGCCATGACTCCGCTATTGTTATATAATCCGTTAAATTTTCATACAAAATAGAATGCATCGAAGGTTTCTTGTGAACCATTGCATGTAAAATGTTGGTATAAACTCAATATAAATTGAATATCATACGCAATAAAGTATTTACAGCCCACTCTAGAATTGCCTTTATTTGTTTTGATCGATTCTATCGACCCGTATAAATACGCTACAGCATAATTTAACGATCTTGGGTTTTATATTGAAGGAAAGCTGTGGCGTGAGAATTTGGGTTAGTTAGGTTTTCTTCTTTCATTTGATGTTAAATTTCTGTCATTTTTAACGTTCTGGATATTCATTTGTATTGACACCCTGTGTAGATTGAGTGATTTTTATTGTTTAAACATTTTACCCATTCATTATTTGTCGTTGACGGGACTGTTTTTAAAGCAAGGCCTAGCTGGGACCCACAACCTCCATCCAACTTGGTAGTTTTGTTCCTGCTGACTTCCGTTGATACTATTGGAATTTAACTGTTTTGTTGATAAATATTTGTTTACTTAATGAAACTCTGTCATCGACATTAGATTTTGTTTCTAGGACGTCTGTCACACTTTTTTAAAAGGCGGAAGTGAAGATCTTAATTTCGGACGGACGGACGGAGCAAAGCCAAACCCGGGCATATGTCAAGAGGGAAGTCGAAGTTGAAGAAAGTATACAAGCAAATCAACCTCATTTAAGGGAGGCCACAAAATACATAATTGGCCTGTTGGGGAGGCAAATTAATTGATTTAAAGGTAGGTGACATGTCAAGTTCAATCATTGATTCTGAAATGTAGTCACATGCGTCCGAATGATCATTGACAGGTCAAGGACGAACAAGGTCACGGTTTCCCGCCAAAACATGATGTAGCGTCGACTTTTCACGTTTTGTGACCAGATGAGCATTTAGTTCTCTATTTTATGCTGTAAATATATGATTAAATGTATTCATGTTTGTTTTTATTAATCACAAGCTCTTGAAGTTGAGTAGGCTAAGGCCCACGCACCATGCAAATCCGCCCCGTCGCCTTCTTCGGATTCTGTTTCCGACTAAGCTAAAAAAAAAAAAAAAAAGCAAAAAAGAAAACGTTCACATTGCTAAGCTTATTAAAAACTTTTTCACTTTCAATTTTTTTTGTAACAAACTGAAAGCTCAAATCAAGCTCTCTATATATTATTACATTCTGCTAGATTAATCATTTAGTGACTGATTCGAGACAAGGGGTAGAGCCGAGAAAGCTAGAGTAGTCCTAGAATACGTCAAGGCGAACGAGTCTCTGTGTGACTTGATAAACATGTGTTAACAGTACCAATTTTATATTCGATTATTCCTTAAAAGTGTAGACTTTACCCTACGACAGTGCATGAGCAATTATGTACGAAAGACATAGCCTATGATGCACAAATGATAACTGACTTTTAAGAAAGGGGATGCTAAAAACTCTCGAAAAATAAGTACGGTACAAAACAGACAGATAATTCAAGCGTCAGAATATTAAGTAATGATGTGTAAAAATATATTTCAAAAGTGTTTGATGTTTTGAGACACTTTGAAATACCACTTATGAAGTGATTTTTGGATTACCTTTATTGCTGTAATACAAAATTACGATTTTAAATAAATATAAATTCCTTTACTCTTTAGGAACTTGCAACAATGACGTCAATGATTGTACATGGTTGTACGATTACCGTCATTAGACAAGATATAATTATACGTACTAGACCGTGGCAAAATTAGTCTTAGGATCATTGGGATTTATATAGCAAAAATGATGGAATAAACGACTGAAGATCGTTTGAATTATTTTAACATAAATCATTTTCATTTTTCTAATACCTCTGTAAAATTCAATAGGTGATGACCGTGATGTACCGTAGCGCGAATATCAAGTTCATCTTAAACATAAGCGCGGCACGAGCCGTTTGCTAACTTTTGTTCAGGGTGGCACGTGTCGTATATAAACGTACACACCGTTGTTTTGGCTCAATATTTCAACTTTGACAAACAGATGTCATAAATGTTAGATTTTATGTACAACTGTGTTTTCAAACATTCCAGTTGACACTTAAAGTGGCGGTTATTAAAATATATTTTATGATGGAAGCATTCCTTTAAATTTCACATTGGAGATCAATTACTGAAATAACAATTACATTTTCCGGGCCTATGCTACAATCTATAATATCGAGTATATTTTGATCATCAAGAAATCAAATATCATCATAAGCATTAGTGCTTTGTCAACTTAATTTTTTATCAAAGCGAATACAAAAGTGTAAATAGAAGGAAGACATAGATGCGTTCTGACTGTATCAATGGTAGTTCAATAATTGTGTAGTACAAAACGTAGATGTAAAATTTTAATTTTATGAATTAAAAAATACATTTAAGGCGCTTATTATAGGGAAACAATAGTAGCTATGTTGTGTATATGTGTCGACATATGTTCCTATGAACTTATTTAATTTCATAGGTATACCATCTGTCAATTGTAACGCCTTGGTTGTTGTATACGTTAAGTTGTTATTCAACTACAGACGGGAGATTTTGCCAAGGGGTCCCAATTAGACCCGATTGATTTACTTCAACATTGATTAGGTTATTGTTTTATCATTACATGTATACTCGGGAGTCTTAGATATTACTAAATTGATCGGAATCATTGGAAAAAGACGTTAAAGAATTGGGTTTTGTAATTACATCCAATCTGCTAGCAGACGATTGGCTGGGTATAATTTATATTGGAGCGCGTGCCGCTATTTATCCTAGGGTCATACAGTGAAGTCATCATTCATTTAGTTCTTTGACTACAAGAGGAATAGTTTCTATCTGCTTTTTGTTTCCCGAATTTTTTACCTTTAGTTTTTATTTTAGTGTATTTATTATTTTTCATCTTATCAAGAAAATGCAGGTATGTGCTCTATATTTTTCACATTTTTAAAACCTTATTTCTTCCAGCTTCGATATTTTCCTTTGTCTCTTAACTGAGCGCTTATCATTGAAGTCGTCTGAAAGGCTGCTACTGCTATATTGGAGACAGTGGATGGTTTTGTAACAAAGAAACCCAACCATATCTTTCGTTTTTCTCAAGTAAAAGTCGTCTTACCATAATGTCACAGAGTATAAACCCGTCAAATTTTGCTATGTGCACCCCTTCTTGTATGGTAAGTAATTTGTAAGTGTATCATTAAAATCGTGGTGCCAATTTTGCCAGTAAATGCCCAAGTACTTCAAAGCCCTGCTGTGTCATAGCTAATAAATCCTAATTAATTGGAAGCTACTGCTATGTGATATTATGTTTTTACCTTTATCAACTTAAGTTGGGGGATGTGGGCTTGGACTGTGACCATCAGATTTAAAAAATTTTTTATCTACATTTTTCATTTGTTTCTATTTATTATGGTGTATTTATTCCTGACATGTGCAAATTGAAAGTAAAATTTGATAAACTAAGCTTCCAATATTGATATTTAAAGGATCAGCCCCACTTACCTTTCTAAACAGAGATATTAAGATCTGTTTAGTGTTTGGTTTCTTGATCATGTACGGAAGTTTATAATCTATGACATTGTTTAACAAATGCAACCAAAATTGTAATAAGTTTTTAAAAGCCACAATGACATTTTGGTTGAATTCAGTCCAGTCTTAAAGTTATCAAAATATACTATAAATGAAAATATCAAAAAACCAATCGATAAAAGGATAACTCAGGATGGACTATATTTTGATATAACAAATTGATCTATCTGAAATTTAAGATTATCAAAGACAAAAATAAAGTGAAAAAGTTGAGAGTTGAGAAATGGCTGATTGGCTATGACACATTTTAATGATTTTATTGAAAAATTGTGTGAGTCATGCAACACTAGGCTAGTCTGTCCTGTCGTGGAACTTGATATAATTAGATGCCGATGGGCTGCCAGTCGAAGGAATATTGATTAAAAACTTCGCTAGACAACTGGGTTGTAGTAGTATCAATATGGCGGAGTGATAGACAGGCTGATCAGTGTGGAATCATTTAATACATGCTTGTATAATTAGATATCCTATTATGGACTCATTTGAATAAGAATGACATTAATATTCAGAAAGATGGATTAATTTGAGACGTTGTAGAATATTAAAACAAAAGCTGAAGGAATAATCAGAATTCGAAGCGATAGTCAAGGAATATGAGTAGAAGACTTGAACTGGCAAGTAGAATTCAATCAATATGAAAAGCAGCCTGTCTGATTATTTTTAGAAACAGACTCAATATTATTCAAAATGAATTAACTTACGTAAAATTCTTTCTAACATTTATTTTGGAATTGAAATAGCATGCTTTCTTTTGCAAATATTAACAAAGCCAATAATATATTTTGGCACCAACATCAAACCTGACTTTCTATTCTATTTCTAGAACTAAGATCTGAAAACTAACTAGATGAGTATACTCTTTGAATTGAATTGGCTCTAACCAATTTGTAAGTTTACTAATTGACACGGTATAATGAAAAATTGTGTGTACGGTATTGAACTTCTTTTTTTTGCAAAACTTGGTACAAAGTTTCAACAGATTTCATATTATATAAGATTCAGTTCCAATCCAAAAAAAAGTAATTTCCTTTTTTCTACAAATATGCCTACTGTGTAAAGCATTTAACAGAAAATGACATAACAGATAGAAATATCTTATTGCTGTTGAAAAAATGGAAACATTAAGCAAACAACATTCTTCACAGTTATTATTAGATTTTAAAACTCTTTTATCTGTAAGGTAAATATTTTAATAGCACAGATTACAGGTTTTTGAAAATTCCAGCTGAGTTGGCCATCATTTTGATAAAGATGTTGAAATTTATTGATAATATTTCCAAGAAATGAGAAAATGTATTTTCATGAAAACACCGCTAAATTTCATTGAAAAATTGATTAGCTCACTGTTTAGAATGGCAGATCAGTTGCATATTTTGGCAGATCGATTGTCTATGTTGCAGATCAGTCTGTTGGCAAATCAGTTGCCTATGTTGACAGATCAGTTGCTGTCAAAAAGTTACTTATTATATGTACCATCACTCTCAAAACCTGGTCAGCATTAGGTGAAGTGTCAGGAATTAATTTAAAACTTTGAACAATATTATTCATTCATCATCCCACCCAAAAACCAAAAGATATGAAAATGTGTTTGTGTGGTACACGAAAACTCAACGTTGATTTGTGTTGTTTTCTACACCATATGATATGTGTCAGAAGTGTACTTGAAATACTAGATTTTGAGGAAAGTAGATGATAAAGTATGGTACTTATCATTCCCAACTCACTGATTTCTGATAACTGTGCCTTCTGAGAAAGTGTAAAAACTGATAAATATTTTTCTTCAATTTGTTTGGGAGTATTTTAGTATATAAGCAAGGTTTAAAAGGATGATTCCAGAGAAAATTATGTATCAACTCTGATTTTGCCGTAAATAAACTCTTATAATTGTTCAGGAATATTGATGGGCCTTGCCTTTTTATGCAGTAGGCCTGAACAGTAGCTGCATAATATCTACCTGGGATGGCTATTGTAATTTGAAAGCAATATTCAATTAAAAAGATTGTAAACCTTGGTTCACATCCTTTGTAAAGTTTATGTCACAACCTTATGCATGCATAGTATTTATAATTATTATGCATAGACCGTATGAATGCAAAAGTATTAAAATTGACTATTTGGAATTACAGTGTACAATAACAATGTCTGAAATATACTTCATAAAAGTTTTTTTTTTTTTGCAAGATCTTGATGTTAAGCTTAATCTAAGAGCACTGATAAAATTGAGATTTCACCCTCTGGGAAATCTGTGTTCTGAAGGTTGATTTTGTCCTTGCGTAATGATAGTTCTTGGCTAATGATATCAAGGTCACTTTAGATATTAATTTGATCAGGGAATGTAAGCTTACCATACAAATCATATCTCTTAGTGTAGAATTGGAACATAGTCCAGACAGTAATGGTATCTTTTTTACTTGTAACAACGAAGATAATTCTGTAAAGATACTGATATTAAATCCTTTGGGATGTCCTGAATTTTGATTGAACATACCATTACTAACTGATAGCTACTGTCTATAATGTACATGGTGCTTTACAGATTTCTTAACTATTTTCTATTGAATGGGGATTATTTTATTTGGCCTTGTTAACTCATTGAGTAAGATCATTTCTGTAAAAAATGTATGACAAAATGAAATTGTGATTGTTATTTGTTCTCTATTTCAGATAACTTTAGGGGACGCTATGATGGACCCTGCAACACAACTGGGTCTGACAAATGGTGGCACAACATCTCCTACTCATTCCCATGACGACGATGGCTGCAGCAAAACCAACCTTATTGTTAATTATTTACCACAGACAATGACACAAGACGATATACGTTCCTTATTCTCCAGTATTGGTGAAGTTGAAAGTTGTAAATTAATTAGAGATAAACCCACAGGTGAGTGAGTTATAATTGATTCTGTATCATTATAGAACAGATGCTGCCTGGAGGCATTCTAGAACATGGACTACACAGATTATTCTACCTGTAAACATAATTAGCTGGGCCGTACCCAAGTAACTTAACTTAAAGTGAATGTATGGGGATGACTTGAAATAACAGAGAGATTATTCTTTTTCCAATGAACACCTGAATTTGTCAAAACAGATTCATTTTCAAAAAAAGAGCTTCATTATAAATATGATGAAAATATTTCTGAATATTGCCAGTAAATTGGCCCATACATACTTGAAAAGAGACAAATTTTGAATTAAAAAATTCTATGGAAAATAAGTAAGCTTATTTGAAAATATTAAAGATACTGGTGCTTATTAAGTCAAAAGTTCTTGATATGAATAAAAATATTTCTAATTACTGATAATGAAGAACTTATGGTCTACCAATACTGTACTTATAATAATACAAGGTTTAATTTCATTCTTCATTCGCCTCATTTTACAACAGGTCTGGTTTGGAGGGGCTTTGAACGAGAGACATTTTCAAGTGAAACTTGGCCAGATTTTTTTTTTTTTTTTCCAAAATTTAAGACACGCGTCATAGACACAAGAAATGTCTCAAATTGATGCTGTTAGTTTACTGAATTTGAAATGGCAATGCACCATACAAGTTTAATTGATGCTAGCCTGTGTCGGTCATTATTTTCAAAAAAGACTATTAAATAACCAATACAAGACATGCTGGGTCAATGTGATTCCTTTGTATTTTGTTATTCATTATAATTTGAAATGAAATAACAGCTAGTTGGTTGCTAGAATGTTATATATAAAATTTAACTAGAGATATTGATTTTATTTTGCATAGGACATTCCTTTATTTCATCTATTACTATAAATAAATTATTGATATTTATATCAAACTTTCATCACTGGATATATATATAATTTGATTATAAATTCCAAATGTTTTTGATATCTTAAATTTTTTAAGGGAAATTTGAGGAATATACTTAAGTACTAATGCAATGAATCACTAGATCTAGATAGACCCAGAGCCAGAGGATGCTTTCTTTAGGCTTGTGTAAAAATAAAGTCATAAATAATTGCTTTACCTGATATTCCTAAAGAAAGGAATAAGAATGAGTGTGCTATGATCAGTGTGGAATTATTGATACAGTAGAAAATAGAAGGAGCAAATCTAAGAGGTATGAGTTCAGAGAAGATGCATTCATGAATAACTTCTGCTATTTTTCACTGTACCGATATTACCAAACCAGACACTATACCTTGTCTTTTTGCACCTTTACCATGAACTTCAAAAATATGTTCAAGGCTAATATATTGCAGGATTTTGATTTAAAAAGACAAAGTAACATGGTTAAGTATTAAAACTGAAATGTTACTTCTGCCAAAATTCAAGGTGATAAGTGATGAATAAAGGTGAATTATCCTTATTTCAGGATTGTTTTGGAATATTTTGACATGTTTTGGTGATTAGTACACGCCCAGCCTGATAAAAACAGCTGATATCAGAAATCTGTGCACAAGAGATGTAAACATATAGTCAGCCAGATAAAAATTGTTATTATAGAAATAAGATAATATTTCTGGTATAGTCATGGTATTACATTTCGATCAATAAAAAGAAGGCTAGACTAAACTGTTAAAGATAGATGTGATCTTGATCAGAAATGACCACAAAAAATCAAAAAAAATATTTGAACAAAGCAGCTAAAATGAAATGCCTAAAAAGTTATATTCTATGGTCAAACTGCTCAATGACCCAATTTAACATGAAATATATTTGCACTTTATCAGGACAATTGGATGACCCATTCACTATGATAGCCTTCAAATATCTGCAGATGTTTCAATACCATTCATAAATAAACAATAGATTTGGAAGTCGGCTTCTATTATTATAGATAGGAGAAAAGAATTTTGCGAGGATGAAGGTAATGGTTGAATGAACAGTGTTGATACCTTGACATTGGGCTTAGTCAGTTACATTGAGCAGCTGTCTCTACTTTTTTCTGATAATACACAACACAAACATCTGTCCATCTGTTGTATTATACTGTGAATATCATCTTTCTTCATTTTCTACCTACCAACTATATTGAATATAGAAAAACTGTTCTTATGAAATACTGGCATAATAACAGACTAAAATTTGATTAAATTATGCTGCATTTCTTGAGAGCTGCATTTGGATAGGTCCAAATTTGGAGGTAATAATTGAAATCAGAAGACAAATTAAGTCATAAGAGCATAATTTTCCTTTCAAGCATTAAACAAGAAACCCCACCAAACAATTTTTGAATTAACACATTGTGGTCCGTTTTGTTTTTTGTTCATCACTCTAATGATTATAAATATGAAAAAAGAAATATTAAAACAGAACCTTGTTAGTGTTGTTACTCAAGAGTTTCACGCTATGCGAATATATGAAACATGTACCAAATTTTATTATTATTATGATACAAACTCAATACAATATTATGATGTTAACAATTAGTTAATTTCAGTCTTATCTTGTCTAATACCCATCTTAAACATGATTTAAACAATAGTGAGGAAGTCTACAAGAAACCAACATATTTCTGTACAGGCCTTAACAAGATTTCACTGTCTAGTCTTGAGAGTAAACCTTACCGATTTTTATCTTATCAGCACTCAAAGTCTGTAGAATACATGAAACCAGTTCATTTATACCTCGTTGAACATGAAAACTCATTTCAACTAATTTATCATTAGTTGTACCAACACCTGATTCTATACACTCATGTAATATGATATTTTGGCTTTTTTTGCCTACCATAAAATATTAATCATGCTATCAAAATATTTAGAGGTGGGGCTTGGTGAATCAAATGCAGCCTGATGCAGCATGTAAATATCTGTGCAATTGTAGACTTTTCACAGAACTTAATAAGACACTGTTGAACATTCGCATGGTTCTATTCACTTAAAATAACCACTAACGTAAAAGTGTGATGGTTTCAGCTGATAATTATTAATGAATACTAAGGAGTTTGACACCCAATGTTGTGAAAAGAGGGCTCCCGGATTGTCGATAGAGGGATTTTTGGAGTCAAAGCTGCACCATTTTCAGCTTATTGGCACATTTGAATGTGAATGCCAGAGTACACAATTTGTTTTTAAAAGTCATAATAATGAATTAAAAAGAAAAATAATTTAAATTTAAATCTTATTCAGCATATTATTTACATATCACATTGGGTGTTGATCTATTGGTTGGGCACCATATTGGTTTACAGACTTTCGTGTGAAAGGGTCAAGAGTCATGACAAACAACAGTAATTACAATATGATTTTAAAATGAAAATTTGAATTGTTGAGTTTCTTTCTTTCCATCTGTGGGTTGGATTTCAATTTAATCAAATAATCCATAAAAGAACACTGAAAGTTTACTATTAACACAATGGCAACATGTGGCAAGAACCACTCAAATGAATCATGAATAATATATTACAATAAATTGGCCAAGTGTAATGTTAATTTCTAATTTTAAAATGAAGTATATTGAAATATACTACAATATCATTTAGAGCATGTAATATGCTTACTATAAAATTTCATTAAAATGATACAATCTTCTACGAATTAAAGCAATTTTTAGTTACTATACCAGTAAAACATCCAGAGGCATAGCTTAAATATACGGCCTCATTTTCTCAAATAAGGACATAACTTTGTCCTTGATACGGACCCCATCAAAAGTTGTTAACCATTGATTACGTTATCTTTGTACATTATTTTATTTTATTTTTTCCTGGTGGTGGCAACTTACTCAAATTTGACTTCTGCTCTTTGTCAGCCATCTCGAACATTTTATATTTTACATAGAAACCATGTATTTTCAGGTCAGAGTCTGGGGTATGGTTTTGTGAATTACAAAAGAATAGACGATGCTGAAAAAGCTATTAACACATTGAATGGTTTACGCCTACAGAATAAAACCATTAAGGTAAGTTGTGTAGTTTTTGTGTTATTTTTTTTTTGGTGATACCATGGTAACGAGAGGTTTTTAATTGTGATTTATTTTGGATTCTAGATTTCAATGGTACCTTTTTGTTCATGTCAATTTTGATTTTTTATGGTAATGGATATATTTGCTTGGAGATTTCATTAATCCACTCTCACAGTGTGACATTTTATTTCGTAACTGATTTCTCAAATGTACCACTTATCATTTTATATGATTAATCATTTATTTTTCTCCAATAGCCCTAACTTACGTTTCATTTCATTTAAAAGGATCATCAAAGTTTATCAAAAAAAATTACCATAATGTGTACTGGAATTTATTTCATTTGGCAGCTTAAATTTTCATACAAAATCTAATGATTCCACATGCTCTTTGTTGGCATCACTAAATCCATTTAAATATGAAAATTGAAGTTAAGTTTACATTGACATTTTTAAAGGTCAAATATTTGTTTTTGATATCCAGTACAGGTGACTTGAACAAAGAATTACCTGATTTTTATGATAAATTTTGATGATCCCTGTGTGATTGCATAGAAGATATTTAACAACTGCTACAGTGTTTACAAAAACATGACCTGAAACTCCCTTACTAATTTCTAAAATTCACAATGCTACAATACTCTTTGAGAAAGGTTTCTGTTTGATCAATAACTTTTGGTATTTAATTTAATTTAGATGAAATTTTTTTAGAAATTTTCTTTAAGATTTTGACAGCCAATTAGCTAGAAACTATAAAATTTTAAGTTATAAGATAGGCTGCCTTTTTTGGTGAACTTGGTATCCTTAAAATCAAACAAATATTCAAACATTATTGGCAAAAAGATCTTTGATACAGATATTGATGGGGAATTGTAATCCAATGTATTAACCGCCAGTACCTGATGGTGTTATGGAAGACACTCTCGTAGAAGCCCAGGCCCAGATCACAAGAACAAACAGAAATCTTTCATGTTTCCCAATTATAACTATTCTTCTTGAAAGACTTGTGTCATTGACAGTCAATTATGATAGTCAAAAATGTTGTAATTCAAAGCAATTTTATTCTCCACAGGAGATCAAAGATTAAATTGCTTTGGTCGGTAACAATTGAGCTTCATAAATCTGTGTTGATACTACTTAGGAGATTTATGGGCCATTTAATGGAGTGGTAGAATTTAATAGGTACAATTATTGGCAATCATTAAGTATTCGCCACACACACACACACACTTCAACAAATCATGGCCTTACCACTTGTCCTCTTCATAATATTTATAAGCAAACTGTTTTTACTGTTTGGTTTTACCAATCTTCCATGGGAAGTAGAAATATTTTTAGGGGAATTTCATTTCTTCATATTAAGCTTACTGGTTTTCAAGTCTCATTCTCATTGTTTTAAAGGCAGTACAGCCAATGTGGCAGGGTATAGGATATCTCAGCTTATTGAAACACTAATGTTATTCTGTGGCTCGGTTTCTCATATCCACATGGTTAATATTAATCATATTTATTTAGTGTGAAATTTTAAATAAAAGGTGAAATTTGTGATCCATTATTTTTTCAATTGATTGACTGCCTCTAGTTCTATTTGAAATCCCCTACTTTTAAAGGCCAAGTGCGCCATTATTTGACCAATCATACTTTAGTCTTAGAAACTGGAATTTTTTTTAGCCAAGGTAATCAGTAATTTAAGTGTTTACAGCTCACTATTGAAATTAAAGCCTTGAAATCCATGTTTGTGTCCAGAATTATCTGCGTTTGTTAAAATGATGACTTGTCATTTTAAGATACTCTGTGATATATAGAAAAGACATATATAGAATTAATGATTAAAATTCCTAGTTTGAAGCATTTTTAAAGGAATTCTGTGATTTGTGTACATTTCTGTACTCCTGAAGACTATTTACATATATTCATGACTAAAATCAACTGCCCAAAATGGGCGCATCTGTCCCTTTAATAATGAAAGTAAAAAAAAAATTCATGGAAGGAAATTATAAATTATATGGATATTGAACAGTGGATATTAATAAATATAAAGCAGATGGTATTGTTTCAATAAAAAGATATGGAAATTTGCCTAGGCCATAAACTAATAAATTACCAGCATTTCTCTCTCCAGGTGTTCTAATAGTAAAAATATGGAGCCTTTTTGTCTGAATTTACCATGTTTTCTCTGTAGGTGGAGAGTTCTTGTATTATTTGATAGGTTTATAGATATATGTCAGTTTTTCTTATGTGAATTGACATACCAATGCCGAAAAAAAAGTCTAAATTTACAGAAAAGTAAAGAAAATATGTGTATTAAGCTCTACAATCTTTTAATAGTTTCCACATCTCTTAACAACTTAAAATTTGATATTTTATAATAAGCTGAGGCCTCACTGGCTCGTAGAGGTGCAGGAGAAAGATCCTTGATGGAAATCCGAACACAGGAGACCTGTATGCTTTTGCTATGGAAAATGTTCCTAGTTGTACACTTTTGCATTGCAGGACTTCTTTAATCTAATAAAAGTAAAATGTAAAGCTCCCATTTCAATTAGGCTTTAACATTAAGATCATTTAATCTTTTTGACAAATTGAAATTTGCTACAATTTAAATATTAAATCTAAGTAGTTTGGGCAGTCACAAGTATGATAGATTTTCATTTGAATTTTTACACACCTTCAATTTGTCAGTTTGACTCTACATGACCTTATCAGCACTGAACAGCCAGGTCTAAATTTTGCCAGGAAAAGAAAGAGTTTATTATTTCATGATACTAAGGTGAGAAAGATAGTGTTTTCAAGTCTGTCGGTACCTAGCTATAACGTTACATCTGACTCCTATCTTAAAACAGATGTTACCTTCAAAGACATTGAGAAGATCTAAAATCCGTTTGTAAGCTATCACTACCAGTATCATCTATCTCTCAGGAGGAAATTTATTATGACATAAGATGGATCTGCCCAAATTTGATCTGATTTGGACAAACAACATTGGCATTTACAAATTATTTCAAAAAGATGTATAACTAAGCTTCTTAGAGATTCTTTTTTTTTTACAGATTCATATGATCAATGATCATGTTTCTAATTCCTACACAAAAATCTTTCCACAAAAAAAAATATTTGTTTGATATAAGCTTATATATACTACAACATTTAGAAATTTGGATTGCAGCAATAATGGTCCAATGTACCTCCAACTTAAAGGTCTGCTTCCAGCTGCAACCATACACATTTTCTTTCTAAAATTTGTGGTTCCTTTAATTCCAAATAATAACATCACATTGGCAAATTTCATTCTTTCAATGAATTGAAAATCAAAATAGAACAAATTTGAATTATAAAAAAACGCAGATTGTAAAAATAACCTTTTCAAATTCCCTTGAAGTCTTCTTTACCCGTCCATATCAAAAATCCTTTTACAAAAAAAGTATAACATTGACCTGTATCTGGGGTTATGTTCATTCACTTCATTTACAACCAAAAAGATTAAGCAAGTGAAAATATATTAGTACAGACATGTGTTCAATTGTAGGAATTTTGATATTTCTGTTAACTGCCAGGAAGAATTCATGATTTATTTTACCTTAGAAATAACAAACTTGGAAATGTACAAGGCAACAATATAACACCTCATTTCAGTACGAAAAAAAAAATCTTCTTGATCTTGTCTGACATAGTGTACAAAACTGTACACACTGTGCTCATCTTTCAAATAAATACAGTGATATAGAGGTGTTCTTGAGTGCATTTTGAATACCACCAAGGATTACGCTGGCATTTGAAGTGAACATATTTCCATCATGTGTTAATTGTAATCAAGTTCATGTCAGATAAACTATTTATCTTGATAATGTTGAGAAAATATGTGTTATTTTACATGCTGATTACTAACATCTTATCCAGTGTTCATCTGTAGTTTGCTACTCAAGGTTATTTGCACATAAACAGGAATAAAGATAGATTTGGTAATATATCTAGCTTAATGCGAGTAATCAGTTAAGTAAGCTTTTATATTAGATGAACCCAATAATACTATAATGGAAATAGTCTACAAAAGGAACATATATATTTATGATGTGATAATGTAATATTTTGATCCTATAAGCTTATATAAATTTAGTCAATCTTAGTTTCACAAATAATACAAGTATACTCGATGTGTAGAAAGTGCTCTTAAGTTAGGTTATTCAATCATGAAGTAAATGCTATTCAATCATGTAGTAAATGCTATTCAATTATGTAGTAAATGCTCTTAAGTTAAATTGCTCAATCATGTAGTAGATGCTCTTAAGTTAAACTGCTCAATCATGTAGTAGATGCTCTTAAGTTAAATTGCTCAATCATGTAGTAGATGCTCTTAAGTTAAATTACTCAATCATGTAGTTAGTGCTCCTAAGTTAGGTTACTCAATTGTGTATTAAGTGCCCCTCAGTTTGGTAAATCAATGTAGTTGGTGGTTAAATGTTGTTAAGTTAGGCTACGTAATCGTGTAGTAAGTAAGTGTTCCTAAGTAAAATTACCGTTGTAGTAAGTAAGCAATCCTAAAGTTAGTTGATAGATCTCTGCGCCAAGGAAAATGTGTGTGTGTGTGGCAATACTTATGATCTAAAATATTCTGACTTAAAATTTTGATAAAAACAGAAAAAGATTTACAGGGAAAGTTCCAGAAATTACAACCAATTTGTGAAAAAGAACAAGAGCCAAGAAACCAAATATTTAACACATATTTCTGTTTTGATTTTACTAGGTTTAACTCTAATTTCCTTTCAGTTCATCTGCCAGTTTTCAGTTTTTCAGCCTTTTATCTCTTTTCTATTTTCTATATCTCATTTTCAACGAACAACTCATTTCTTCCTTTGCTTATATCTTTGAGTTATTTTGAGCATACAGATCTAGTGACTTCAAGGGGAAAAAAATTACATTTTAATCTCCTATTACAATCATTTGCATGTTTTGGCATACTTATGTTAAACAAAATTTCTCAAACGAAAAGAAGAATCTCATAAATCTTGGCAATTAAATATTTAAAAACTTTTTTTTCATCTGCTACGCTCAACTTATGTTATGTTCTCTTGATTTTTATCACCATTTAGTTTGCATTTAAGACTCTTTATTAATTTCAGGTTTCGTTAGCTCGCCCAAGCTCAGAAAGCATAAAAGGAGCCAATTTGTACATAAGTGGCTTGCCTAAATCTTTGACTCAATTGGATTTGGAGAAATTGTTTTCCTCTTCTGGAGTAATAATTACTTCAAGAATTCTATATGACCAAATCACAGGTACCTTAATCATTTATTGCAACTTGACGTCAAAATCTTTGACTAAAATTCCTCCGTACTTATTTGTAGGTGTCGTTTGCAAGGCCCAGTAGTGAGACAATCAAAGGTGCTAATTTGTATATCTGTGGACTGCCAAAGTCTATGGCACAAAGAGACTTGGAACAGGCTTTCTCCGTCTGTGGCAAGATCATAACTTCGAGAATTCTCTATGATAACAACACAGGTCAGAATACACTCTTTGAAAACTGTATGTATGCATGGAGCAAATAATTTTGGCCCAGGAGGTATTTTTGCAGGGCTCTCACACCCTTGTTATTTTGTTGTTTTGATTTTTTATTTCATTTTCAAACTAATCATTATTATTATATGTGAAATTGTTTATGTTTTTTAGAGGTATTATTGTTACCCTTTCAAACCTGTTTAATCAGTTAATTTTTTTTTTCATTGTTTTATTTTCTGAATTATATTTAGCTCTGTTGAATTTTAATTGCATGAAGTCCAAATCAGATCATTTCCATATAAATATATATAACACGGACAAATCTAATTGTTTTATGCAAAAAGAACAGCTTTTTATATTGTAATTGTTTGCCAATCCTATTAATTAAATGTTATATTCTGAAAGATATTTGGACCATTTTAAAATCAATTGCTGTGCTTTACATGTTGAATGGGTTTTTATTTATGCATAAAATAAATTGAATCTGATAGAAAAAAAGTCGGTTGTTGATAGGTGATTTTGAAATTCTGGCCAACAAAGTATATTTGTATCTCTTCTATGATTCAAAATTGTATTTCCTGATTGATGATAAAATTCACAAACCTACAAACATCTAAGCTGATTTACAATTCTTGATCAAGTTAAATTATATTTTTTGATTAAGTTGCATTACAATTCTTGATTAAGTTGCATTAAAATTCTTAATTAAGTTGCATTACAATTCTTGATTAAGTTGAATTTTTAAGTTAGTAAATAAGTGATTACAATTCTTGATTAAGTTGAGTTACAATTTTTGATGACAATTCTTGATTAAGTTGAAGTACAATTCTTGTTTAAGTTAAATTACAATTCTTGATTAAGTTGAAGTACAATATTTGATTTAGTTGAAGTATAATTCTCGATCAAGTTGAGGTACAATGTGATTGATTAAGTTGAGGTACAATATTGATCAAGTTGAAGTAAAGTAAAATTACAATCTTGCATTGCTGAACTAAAGTTACAAAATCCTTACTGCAAAGTACAAATACAATTCTTGATTGATGAGAAAAAGTTTATCTGAAATCCTTAATCGCTGAAATAACAAATCTTTATATTGCAAAGTAAAATATCCATTCTTGCCGAGTTCAGGTTAAATTCTTGCAAACCTGCAATTTGTTAATGTTGCTTAAGGTAACAAATCGTTTTTGCAAAGTACAAATTACAATCTTTCATTGCTTACTTCATTTCCGAAAAATCTTTATTACAAAGTAAAATCTTTCATTGCTTACTTAACTTTTTTTGCATAGTAAACTTACAATATTTCATTGCTAACTTAATTTACAAAAAATTCTTGTTGCAAAGCAGAAATTACAATCTTGTTTGTTAAGTTTTAAGGTTAACCTATAACTCTGCTTGATGAATTACAAATCTTCAAATTTTGCAACATAAAATTAAAGTAATTTTGCGAAGCCTGCAATTCTACATTTTTGACTAAATTTTAATGGAAATTATTAATAAGTAACAATGACTAGTCTTAAATTCTGACAGCAAGGCTGTGCTTTAATTGGTTTTTTGGTTCTCAAATTAGCACATATTCAGGCAAAACTTCACCAAGACAAAAATGTAATTAAATTTCAACAGAGATGTTAAGTTGGTTTTATGTTGAAATAGATATATCTATGTGTAGGGTTTTGTTGATGTTTTGCATGCACTTTCAAGTGTTCAAAGTAATCTTTACGTACAAATCTTATTAGGAAAGTCAATGAAAAATTTCAAAATGGCAGCAAAAATGATTATGATTTCAAAATTTAAATGTGATAATGGCAACAATTCTTGAAAAAAAGAAAAATAATTGATATTAAACTTCTTTGAAAGGAAAACAAAATATTAGGATATTTTCAATAATGACTTGAATATATCCATGAATTGTTTGATATATGAAATTCTGGATATCTTTTGTAGGTTTATCGAAAGGTGTTGGCTTCATAAGATTTGATACAAGAATTGAAGCCGAGAGAGCCATACAGAAATTAAACGGTTACATCCCTGAAGGAGCAACTGAACCTGTCACGGTTAAATTTGCAAATTCTCCGAGTTCCAATAAAAATATGGCTGCCATGGCACCATTAGCTTTGGCAACTTATTTATCTCCAACAAGAAGATTCTTTGGACCCATTCATCACCCAACAGCGACCAGTAGATTCAGGTATGTGTATTGGCACATGCTGCTGTTTTGACTTCAATTGAATTTTTGCAAATCGTAACTGGCATATCAGGTTTATTCTGCAGTATTTGAAACATGCCAATCAAAACAATCATGGCTGAAAGAAAAGACAGGCACTATCTACCAGACCTTTTATATTGATCTTAATACTCTCCTGCTGGGCAAAAATGTTGTTAATGGAAGCTGTTGAAAGTTACAAATGTTTGAGCCGTATAATTGATAGACTAAATAACCTAGCCTACCCATAGATAAGAAACCAACACGAATGTGATGTACATCTGTCTGTGTAGGAAATAGGCTGACGTATGAGTGGAATATATTCTATCAACCAGTGTTTGTTCAGCCATCAAGCCAAATCAAATAATCACAACAATTTCCAACATTTAGCCGACTGATAAAGATAGTCGGAACTAGGAAGAATTGATTTTCCTAGATATTCTGCAAGTTTACAGACTGATTCCGGTGATAAGATACAGTGTAAAATTTGTTTACAATTGGTTAAATTTAGATTGATGAGAGAATAATTTGTTTTTATTGGCATAAGATTTCATCATTCTAAACATACCTGTCAGTAAGAGAGCTATGAAGACAGGAGACTGAGAAATGAAAATTGATTTATAAACAGTTTGTGAGAGTCAATCTTAGCTCCATATATCATGCTGCAATTATCATAATTTTGAAAATAGTATAAACTGTCGTAATAGTTAAAATATTTAAATTGAAAATATACTTTGCCCTGAGCTCAATGCATGCTTCTGTGTTTCGGACACAAAATCCTCATCAGGACAATTGGTTTTGGAAATGGAGGTAAACATTCCGAAGGAGCGAAATCAGCATTAACTAATTGCTTTGTGATGTTTTTAACTTATCTTTTCTGACTAAAAGCTCCATGCTTGGAAAATCAATGCTATGATGCTCATTGTAAGGTATAGTATACTGTACTATATTTTGTACAATTTATTGTTTTGATTTTCAAATTTTGTGTTTATATACTTGTAGGTATTCACCATTGGACCCTGGTCTTTTACCAAACACCTTACTACCCAGTACAACTCCAACTGCGGCAACCACATCAGCTTCATCAACATCTCTCAATACCAATGGTACTGGATGGTGCATATTTGTTTATAACCTAGCTCCTGATACTGAAGATAGTGTTTTATGGCAGTTGTTTGGACCCTTTGGAGCTGTACAAAGTGTCAAAGTTATCCGTGATTTCCAAACACAGAAATGTAAAGGCTTTGGTTTCGTTACCATGACCAATTATGACGAGACTCTCATGGCAATTCAAAGTCTACATGGATTCACATTAGGCAACCGAGTGCTACAAGTTTCTTTTAAAACCAATAATCGCAAGATTTAAAACTCAGATCTGATCCTTGTCAAAATAAACTGTGAAACGTAATTTATTCAGACAGTGAACTATCAAACATAATGTTTGTGAACAAAAAAAAAAAGAAATTGTTAAGATTGTTACCTAATGGACAAACCACATTACAAAACCACAAATTGGAAAATAATTTAATTATGATACAATTCATAACATATTTGCGTTTTTGCGATATCATTTTTAAAACCATATCATGTTTTTAAACGGAGGGAAAATCTCTTAAACCAATCGTTTGATTTTTTTTCTGCATAATTTATTTATTTTAATTGTTGACGTTAATTGGTGTATAAGTTATTCTTCATTATTTAATTATGTTTTTGTGTTTTTTTTAGTATCTTACAGGAGGCTTTTTGTTGGCGACATTTTAGAATGTTGTAGGAGAAATCCATGACTGTGTAGTTTTAACTTTGTGTTTGCATTCAGTTTTTACTCTCATTGTACGCATAATATCATGACGCAAATATTTTAATCTGTGTGCTGTCTTTTAGCACATTGTTTTAGACCGCTCAAAAGAATTTGTATTCAGTATTGTGACCATTATATTTTCATTCTCTTTACTTTCATTTTTTGCATATATAATAATATATATATATTTTGAGTCCACATTGTTTTATTGTGGTTGGTTACTATTAAATTTTTTGTTCAATTTATTTTCGTTGTGTTGTTTTTATTTTCCTTACTTTTCTTTTATTATTTGCATGACAGCCGCCGATCCAAAAGTCTGGGTCTACACGGTTCCATTCAGTTCCAGTTCTTTCATTTTTTGTGTGTTTTAGTTCCATTACGTTTAGTCTTGTTTTTTAACACTAACATGGTCTTGCTTTAACACTAACATCACTAAACCCAGTATTGTTTGTGCACTAGACCAATTAATTCCGTATTGAATCCAAATAGGATTTTATCTGAAGAAGGAATCTTCTTGTATCCTTGGTTTGAATCTTAGTTTTGGTTGAGTTTGGTCTTTAGGAGAATTTCCCGCATAAGTTCGTACAAATCATTATCATTAAAACAACATTTATCACCCAATCATCTATTTATATAACATTTTTAAAAACATGTTGATTTTAACTAACATCCTGCAAATATCGTGCAATAAAAAACAAAGAAATTCAACATGTTGGGGGAATATAGTTTACAATAAACTATATACACCCATCACTTTCATGCTAGCTGAATAATACTACATTATATCGATGTCAATGCAGATGTTGCTTTAGTAATAATAATGTTTTGATCTTCCAAACATATAACTTGGGATACTGTTGATGTAAAAAGCGTTCATTAAATAACTACAGGGTTGTATTTATGCAGCAAAATCTGAGGTCACAAGGTTACAATAACATCCCTACATTAGTTTGTACATAAAAGATGGAAAAAAAAATCAACACATTGATACATTCTCAATTTTCACACTGCGTCTATCTATGATATGTATATATACATGAAAACAAAATGACTACACTACATTCCTCTTAAATATTGATTTCCATATGCTGTATATTTGATTTATATATATATATAGTATTTGAAAATCAAGTATATGTATATTTATGAAATAACCAAGCTGTTTTGAAGTGGATATGAAATTTATATTTCATGGGTACAAGCCACAACAAAATAACAGTTGAATTTCTATTATTGAAAGAATGGTGGAGAACTTAGTTGCAATTTGTATAATTTTTATACATTTACAAAAACTTAATAATAAGAGTATGGGGCTTTATATACTCCCAATTTTTTGATAAAAAGGGTCGTTTTGGCTACCTTATTGTCAGTTGTATTTTTAAGAACATACTAAAAACTATTCTTATATTCATAAATACTTCCAGTTGACTTTTTATACAGAGTTAAGATTTGATAATCTATAACTCGAGCCTAATATATGCAAATCTTTTACACTAAAATATTATACATGGAGTTTGTTACAGTTACGTAACATGTCTTATTAATCGATCTGTCTTTTGTGGTTTTTATAATTAAAAAGTAGCCGTTTTGTTTCCATTTTTGGGCTATTTAGATATATTATTATTATTATAATTATATATACCAAGAAAATCATGTGCCAATTGAGTGTTCAAAAATATACAAAAGTGCTATTTGTCTTTTTGACAAAACGGTTTATTTCGTTCCAACGTGTATGGTTCCGTTTCTTTTACGACCTTGGTAAAGTACATCATCGTTCTAGTGTTGATTAATTTTTACATCTCTGCACAAAACCAACCTAATTTGAATTCAACATTTTTACCATACATGAACTAAGTTTATTGAAACTGTTAATTTGATTTGTCGTTTTGTACAAAAATTGTACGGTTTAACTAGGTTCAATATTCCTGTTGTTTTTCTCACTTTTCAAACACTTGTTTTCATTTTAATCCTTTTTCACTTTAATTATTCCTTTTCAATAGATTTTTGAATTTCATCAGAGTTTTTTCAATTTTTGAAGTTTTCTTGTTAAATGTTCTATTTTGTGAATATATTATAATACTTTTTCATTCCAATATATAATTGATGTTTTTAGAGGACACCTTGATGAGTTGAAAGGCCTATGATTTTAATCAAAAATTGAAAATAGCAATTTTTTTTTTCGCGAGTGATAATGAACAAATATAATCAACTGTGATTTTGTATAGATTTTTGTGGACTTTTTCTTTGAGAATTATTATGTGATGTATTGAAATACATAGTAAACCTCTTTGCATATTTGACTTAAGACAAGGTTATTTGCAAATCAAGCAATAAGTTCATTGCTCATTTTGTACTAAGATCATTTTATTTACATGGAATTAAAGAGAGTGGAAAATATTTTAATGAAACTTTCAAGACATTGCCAAGTAAAAATAGATGAAAAGAGTCTTAAATCATGTTATCACTTAAAATAATCTAATTTGTTGCTAATTTTTTCATACTTGAAATATGGTTTGGCATCATATGGTTGCAATTTCTGTAATCAAATTACAGGTAAAATTTATTGCTAAAATCCACTCATAATTTGATCTAATATGATTTGATTTGAAAGGAAAATCTCTGTAATTTTAAAGTACATATAATACCCAATTGCAATTTTTACAGTATAAAATTCACTTGATTCCAGGTAATTCAATAAAATTTCTCATAAAGTAGTTTTGAATTTGGTTGATTGTTAGTAATATCTAAATAAGGCCTAATGATAACATTAATGGGTGACTATTGAATATCAGATAATAATTATTTGGGTTATCAATTATATCATCACACAAAGATCTCAAAATATCCTACCTCTGTATGGGTAGATATTTATATAGTATTTATATATTGCATGGCATGATTTTGACTTATCAAGGAGTCTACCGAATTATTAATTCTTATTATGGAGTTTTCATATTTTTAATTATTCTAGTCATTATTAATTGATCTTGTCTTGTGTGCTTTTGCTTTATGTTGGTCTCCATATTTATCATTGTTATGTAATATTGATTTGATCTTGCTCACTCATATATAATAATTATTACTCACTACACCAACCAAATCAAAAATTCATTTTGATCCTGAATTATTCCGCCAGACGTTTCAAAATGATTGTTGTTAGACAAGACTAAAGCTACAAGCAAATTGTCGTTCTGTATACCCCCTTGTTTGTTTAGTTTGGTTGTATGGCCATATTTGTAACTTTTTACATGTGGAACAAATTTACTAAAATAAAGTCATGCAAGACAAATTTGAATGGTTTTCATTTCATACCAAAAATATTTGTTATAAATTTTGCTGAATCATCAATTTGAAAATTAATGACAGAATTCAGTATGTAGTTATCTAACTTAAATTTAGAGTTGCTTTTTGAAATGTGTGCATCTTTTTAATCTCCCATATAGCCAAATATCAGGTGAACATGTTGATTAATCGAAATGGAATTCTTGTTAATTATCATCTTGTAGTTTTGGAACTTTTAGGTAGTGATGGAACTGGTAACTGGTATCTCAGGTAACTGTACCAGCTCACCCAAGGACTGAGGGTTAGGGTATGCAAATGTTTTAAGATTTCCCCTCATTCCCCTTTTGAAGTAGAAGAAATTGAAGACAGTCTAATTTTAGGTACGTTTCATTGATCGAATTGCAGGAGAACCGATTTAAATTCTGAAACATGAGATTGAGTTCTATTAGCTTCTCCTGTGTATAAAGCTAATATTTATAAGGCTATACTCCCTTAAGTTACCAATGAATCATGCAAGGAACAAAAAATTGGCATTATGGTTGCTTAGCCTCAACCTTTAATCGCATAATAACATACATCGGGCCATGTTAGTTTTACAGACTTGTGTTCATTTCTTCAATGGAACAGTCAGGAACATCTGATGTTTATGAAGCGAATTTGATCCGCCATCAAACTATAAGCCACGGTATGTTGCACTTAATTGAAATAACATCCATTTGAGTGAGTTTTTGTTGGCACGGAAAGCCAACTGAACGTTTTTACACAAAACTAACATGATACAAACTAGATTTAAATAGATTTGTGAAATCTAAACCGCTTCCTATATTTCGACCTTAGGTTAACAAAATGAATAGTATTTCCAAAGATGAGGCAAAAATATGGTACTATTTAGCGTCTGTATAGGCGCCAAACAATGGGTGGCATGCCTAAAAGAAAACTCGTCGGTCTTCTTACATATAACTTGATGCCAGAGATTGAGTTCTTGTATCACATCAGTTCAGTATTCATGTCCATAATGGGTTCAATTAATCTTTATAAATAACACATCGTTTTGCAACCCTCAACAGTTTCCGTAAAGCTGAATCTATCTTGTTGAAAAGAATAATTTGCCGCGTTTACACTGCCTCTCTTTAAGTAAACCGGACCAATTCTGAAAAGTGTTGCCCTGAGAGCTATACTGTGTGGAGCCATATGATTTGGTAATGCTAATACCTAGACGACAATATCCCTAATCACGTTTTTATGGTTCATGGTTGTGGGTGATAATGCTGGAATATTAATGAATA